TTTTGATACATCTCATTTATTGTAAACACTAACCCTAATATCTGTAGAAGCTGAACCGCTTGGTTTGGCAAAAATAAAAAAACTTAGAGGCTACATCGTACTACCCGGTTGAGGATCTACAAAGATAAGGGTTAATGTTTATATTAGATGAGGAGAAATAATCATTTTATTAGACGCCTAACTCACTACAGTTGGTAAAATCTAAAAGATCAGCAGATATCTGATTTTTCTTATATAATTAAATAAATAAATATTCCTAATTAAAGATTCTCAAGAATGATTATATTATTAAGTTTTTAATTTTTAATTAAATTTATTAAAAATATTGCATAAATTTTATAATTACATGAGTTTGAGGAAGCTGATCTATGTTCCTGAAATTTTAATAATTATTAATAATCTTCAGTTTCAAATAATTGTAAATATTCTTAAATTTTAACTCTTAAGAATAATTAATATTCCTAAATTTAAACTCTTAAGAATGATTATTAATATTATTAAACTTTTAAATCTTAATTTTATTTATTAAAAATATTGCATAAATTTTCTAATTTTATGAATTGTAGAAAAAATGCTGATCTATACCCCTAAAATCTCAATAATTATTAATATTCATCAGTTTTAACTTTAAAAATATTATCACTATATTTAAACTCTTAAGAATGATTATTAATATTATTAAGTTTTTAAATCTTAATTATATTTATTAAAAATATTACAGTAATTATTTTAATAATATGAATTATAGAAAAAATGGTATTCTATACTCTTGAAATCTCAATCATTAATATTTTTCATTTTTCAAATAATCACAGTGGCGTCACTAGGGGGGGGGGGAGTACGCAGGGGCTCGAGCCCCTTTTAAAAATTTGAATAGAAACAAAAAATAATTTTTATAATAAAATCTTACCCCTTTAACTAAAAATAAATTTTTTTGATTGCCCCCTGAACGATTTCTTTTATAATTCTATTAAGTAATATATAGGTTTAATTTTATTATTTAAAAATTAATAAGAAAATTTAAATTTTTATTAAATGAATACTATTTTAAATAGTAGATTAGATTAATACATATAAATTATATTTTCACTATGTCAGCTTGCAATCAAATTCTGTGTTAATCACTCACTAAATATATTTAGCATTAACAGAAGAAGCTTAATTGACTATTATTATTTAAATTATTATATATATAACCCTAATTAAATAAATATAATCATTTATTAATTGAAAACTAACAAATTTAATATTGTAATTAGCCGAGTTCAAAATGACTAATCAACTGTATATTTATTTTTAAATTAATTTTTCATACCTATTCTTTATTTTCAAGGTCCAAATAAGCAAAAGAGATTTCTTTATAAAAAGTAAGTAGACATATAGTTTATAATTATCTATTATATACAGTTGGTTATAAAATATTAGATAAAATGTTGTTTTATAGACATATTTAACAGTTATATAATATATTACAGTTAATATTATAATAAATCTTACTAATAAATGCTTTTGATAATAAATATAGTAACAATTTGCATTTAAGCATTTAACGCCATCTATTTAGTTGTAATAATTTTAAAAATTAAACATCTTATTTATTTTTTTTTAAAATTCAATTTTTTATTAAAATTTATATACAAATATGATAAAATATTATTATTCAAAAATTAACATCATAATATAAAGAATATAATAAAATATGTAATATATAAGTTTAAGTGAAAAAAAAAAGATTGATTCAAATGTATATTTTTATAAAAAGAAAAAACATTTAAAAAAATAAATATCAAGTGGCGAGGTCGGGCCATGATGTTTTAAAGATAATTAGATCTAATTATATATATGGCGATTTTCTGCTTAAATTATAAATTGAAAAAGGTATGATCTTTTTTATTGATTTAGATATTATTCTGAAGAGATCTAATGCCGCTTGTCCAAAAGAGCAGGTTGATGTAGCTGCTATGGGAACAAAGTGGTTTTCACACATTAGGTGTGAGTATTTTATATTTTTTAGGGATTTTAGGGATTCGGCTCGTTTAAGGGATCATGCGAATTATTAGATGGGGCCACGGGATCAATACAGGTAAAATCCCACATTAAAGGCTTTCCCATTAAAAAAGGTACGATTGTTTTGCCGTCAGGGCGTTTTTTTATCTAAAAAAGATGTCGGTTCTAAAATACATGGAAAATTGGCTTTATTTAAAAGAGAAACTATTATTGTATTTATTTTATCATGTCGGCTGATTTTTGATATAAATTTACAGTGGAGAGCGTGTCTCCCATACACGCCTGACGATTGATTGCATTTAATGGAAATATAATGGTTTAGGAAAGGTACGCCCAAGCGTAAATTGATTGCATAACGAAAACGTCGTTATCTATTAGCCGGTTATTTAAAATGGTGGGATATAAATCTAACCATTCATGGCCAGAGTTGAAAAAATTAAGTGATCTTATAAGAGATTTATATTGGCCATCATCGCTCAAGTTGAGGTAAACTAAGTAACGAGATACCAATCATTGATCCCAATCTTTTTGTTTCGTTGAATCAGGTGGGGCTGTGTTTGGTAAGACATTAATATTCCAACAACGTAAGGCTTCATCTAATAAATTATCTTTATCGATAATATGCGAGGTAATATTTTTTACTGATAAGGTTGATGAGATGAAGGAAACAAGGACTATACTTAATGCCGATCTTAAGCCTAGTCCTCCGGATTTACAAAAGAGAGTTGCTTGAAACCATGAGTAGGAATCGAGTTTGATGTTTAATAACTCTGCCATCATTTGTAGTATCTTTTGTTCGTATTGTTTTAAAAGAATTTCAAAGAGAAGGCACCAGATGTTTTTAAACAATACTGGATTTGTGGTACTAAAAGGGCGTTTTTGAGAATGTAATATGCTTGATGGATGGGTATTTTTTTAAGATCGATAGTTTGGAGAATAGTGAAGTTTGGAGAATAGTGATTGAAGGTGATTATTTAAAAAATTAAAAACTCCCTCTGCACCTCCCAATGGGGCTCCTAATATACTGAAATCTTGTAAGGGTGTCCGTCTAAAGTTATATAATATGGTTTCTGTTAGAGGCGGAGAGGGATAAATTTCGCATTTATTTATATTTAAGGATAAATTAAGTTCATCAAATATTCATCCTACAATGGATGTAATTAATTAGATATCTCTACTAGTGTTGTTAAACGGATCGTTTTGAGCCGATTTTTAAAAACGGCTAACTCATTATTCCACCCAGAAAAATATTATGCAGGCCTGAATATTTTGTTCATAGAAGCAACAAAGATCTAGACATATATTAACGAAATCTCGAGGCTTATGCATAATTTACTGGCTAAAATATTGAGTTAGCCGTTTTAAAAAATCGGCTCAAAACGAGCCGTTTAATAACACTAATTTTTATTTCGCTTTTTATAAATATTTTTAGGAAAGCTATCTTTTTCTTTTTCGAAAAACAGTTTTGAGTTAAATTTTTAATACAAGTATATTTTTAATATTATCACAAACTACTATTATTTTAAGATATAATATACCAACTAGAGGTGGTGCGACATTATATAAATCTTAATTGTTTCATCATATCATTCTGGTCCTTATTTTATAGTTAGAAAATGTTTCATTTCTAATATGGCATCCTTGCCGCGTAAATAACTCAAGGATTCAGTATATTTGCATAATTACTTCTTCCAAAGATTTTTAGTGTTTTTATTTTATCAATTTATCCAACATAATAAATTCTTATATTAGTTTACATCGTGAGTGTTAGGGCTATGACTACAAATTAACCAGCATCTATTATTTGTGTTGCCATATAATTTAAGGTTCTTACTACAGCTGCTAAGAGCATACCAACTGTGTAGTTGTTTATATATCAGTAAAAATGGAAGATAATCTTTTAGAAATTTAATATCTCACAATAATTTTCTTGACTACTTATCTAGCTTCATAATGTCATCTAAGTCACCATATAGTTGATTAATGATAGACATTGCATTAGTACCTAACAAATTTATAAATGGTGATTTTTGTAAAATGTCTGTGGTATAGTCAGCAAGAGCGTCGCTTACCAATCCGATGGTTTTGGGTTCGAATCCCAACAAAGAACATGTTTTATAAAATTCAGAATAATTGTTCAAAGTTAACAAATTTTAAAAAAGTATAATATATTAATATAAAGCTTGGGGACATGGGGGGCGAATCCTCCCATAAAATTATTTTAGTTGAGCCCCCTGAGATTGTAAAGGATAGCGACGTCCCGGAATAATCATATTATTTCAAAATTTTAACTCTAAGAATAATTAATATTCCTAAATTTAAACTCTTAAAAATGTTTATAAATATTAACTTTTTAAATTTTTATTGTATTTATTAATTTATATAATGTATTGAACTGTAGAAATAATGTAAATTTTTATAATTATATAGGTTGAGGAATTAATTATAATATTTTGCTGACTTCAAAGTCCGGAAATATCAATAGTTATTGATTTTCTTCAATCTAAAATTCTTTACTTGATGTTAATTATATATAGCAAATCCTAAAATTACAAATTATAAATAATTTAAGTAAAAGATTTTCAAAATATTTAGTCATATCTTAGATATAATTTAAAATTCTTTTTAACTTGATTTCTATTTTTCTCTTTTGTCTACGATGATTGAGCTAAACACTGTTATAGTTTTAGTTAATTTTTTGAGACTAGCAATTTCCCATTCATTCATTTAAAACATCTGCTCTCCAAGAATTTAGAGTAGAGATAAACGTGCTAGATAAGATAAGATATGGAATTTTGTCAGAGCCTAATATTAAATGATAACATTATATCATCTTTACCAAAAGAAAAAAAAATTATTTACATATATGAGTGGTTGAAATTTCTTGAAAAAATTTTTCAAGGAGCTCAAAAAGTAATTTTAAACAATATATAAATACTTATCTCAATTTAAAAGAATGATATAAAAGGCAATCAAACAATAATACATGAACAACTTCTGCAATTAACATTTTCAGGATGTTTTAGTGGGCCTATCATAAATGAATTGATAGGGAAAGTTATAACAAGTTTTTTCAATTCAATGGAGGATACCTACATGCTCTTAGATATTTTAAATAAATGTAATGATATATTAAAGATTAATAATGCAGCACAAGGAGTTAAAGAGCATTTAATTAATCCATCAGTATCAAAACTGTTTTCAATCAATATACATAAGCCAATTGATTCCAAAAGGTAATTTTATTGTTTATGAACATAAATTGATTAAGCACTAAAATTAATTGTATACATTATTTAGATGTACTTTGACAATTCTTTCAAATCTTTATGTTACACTGGGAAAGCTGACAGGAAGATGCAATGAAGAAACCTTGTCAAATATTATGAAATTATCAAAATTGATTGAAAATAATACAGCATTCATTAATAATGTTCCACAACCCATTTTAATGCCATCTTTGAAAAATAATAACCTTGTGGATAAAAATAATCAATTTTCAGCAGAGATATTGAAACTTGATTTAACATATGCATTATTGCAAACCATATATAGCATAATTTCCACTTTGGGCAAACATATTCCAAATCACATTATAAAGGATGTTTATAAAAGCATGATTATTAAAAATGACTATTTGCTAGAAAAAGAAGAAAATATTCAGATTGGTTCTCAAGATATAATGTTAACAAAAATGAAAGCAGCAGAAGTTAAAGATCTTCATATTTAATGCATATTTTAGCTATATTTTTATATACTATACTTTAATGATCTTATATAAAGATTATTTTTTTGATATTAAATTTGGATTTTGTGTGCTATTTTTTTGGCATTTTCTGAATTCATATAAATTTATTGAATGCTAAATTAAATTAAAGTTTGGAACCTGGATGAAAAAAATATGGTTCCAGTTCTAAATATTTCTTAAAAATGGTCATAGTTCAGATTTTAAAAAGTGACTTCTGGTTTTGACATAGGGTTTTAGATGATTCTGGAGTAAGCTGTTAAAACATCAAACTAATTCAACAGATATAAACAATAATTAAACCCTAGAAAATAAATTGCACAACATTTCAAACAGCATATATAAAAATCACCCACACTTTTGTTAGAACTAATCTGGGACCTCTTTCTGGAAATTTTATAATAGGTCCCATTTCTGGTTCTGATAAATTATAAAATTGGGTTTCAGATTGTGGCTTCAAACTCTGAGTTTAGCAATATTAATCAATAAATGACCTTTTTCATATTTTAATAAAAATATAAGTGTATTCTAGCAATGAGTGAAAACTTTAGTCCCATCTATATGGCTGACCACGAAAATTTGATAGCTACCTGTCTCAAAGCGTTTGAAAATTCTGATGCATTAACTCGAAGTTCCATAGGCAATTTGGTAGGAAATATTGTTCATAAGCTTGTTTTCCCAGATTCTAGAATGCTGCAGGAAAATCAAGGTATTTTTTTCTTTTAATAACATTCAAAAAGGAAATAACTATAAATTGAACATTTATGATTTATTTTACTATTGGTTAAATAATAAAATTTAAGCTATCGATATATCACCTCATTATGATATTTATCTTAAATGTGTAGAGTAACTCTTTAAAGAGAATAGTTTATTCTTACTTGACTTATCATAGAGTTGTTAAAATATTTAGATACCTAAGTGTTTTATCAAGATATATTTATGTATGTATAATTATTGGATACATTTTATTATATAATTCTATTTTAATATTTATAATATCATTATTTAATTATATTTTTTATATTTAATTTGTTAAATATCTCCCAGTTTTTTATTTATAAGGAAAACAAATTTGACTTACATGTGTAGTTAGATGAATAAAATGTTAATATTACAGATGAAGAGGTAATCAATATATCATCAGGATTCTTCTATTTTCCTAGTCAAAATAACTAGCAATAAAATGATCATGTCTTACGAAAAAGACTAATAGTTCAGTAAGCCTGACATCAACATATATTAAAGCATTTAAAGGTAAATAATATTCCTTTTATAAGAATATTATTTATAATTGATGTAAGAGGACTATTTGAATGAAAATACTAAATTAACTAATTTTAGAAAAATGTTTAATTTTCTTCTTTTTCAATAGCAAAACTTAGAGACTTTTCATAAAACCTCAAAATATTATTAAAATTTGTCTAGATGATTTCTTTCATGTTATAGACGAAGTTGAACCATTTTCAATAGTTAAAATCTTTCTTAAACCATTTCCAAACCCGTCGTTATTTGTAAAGCAGTTTCCTAGGCATGTTTCCATCAATTTTTTTTATTTCCAAGCAAATGATAATATTTTGTCTAATTAATTTTTTTGCATAAGGCTTTGAACTAAATATCAAAATATAATTAATAAACTTTCGTAACTTAAAAAAAGACGAGATCAGCTATTTTTAATGTAAAAATAAAAGAGTAGCCTAAATTATTTTTTCAAATTTATGAAAGTTTATTAATTTTTTAAAGTTAGAAAAATTAATAAGATTTAATAAATTTTAGCTTATAAGTTGTGAAATTTTTACAAAAAAAGTAAGCAATATTAATTTGAAAATAATTCTATCTATACCTAACATTTTTAATCGGTATCGAGATATATTTTGGGTTATGTATCGGCATATAGAGTTCCATTTTAAAACCATCTTTTAACAGCTATATCTCATTAGAACAGTTTTTTAAATTTAGTTAATTCAGGAATAAAAGTGGAAGTGGATAAATATTGAAAGAATTCTAAAATAATATTTTACTACGAAAATTCAATAATATTTTTTATTAAAGATAAGAAATTATATTCAGTTTATTTTTGAAACAATGCATTTTATAAGAATACCAACAAAATCTGCTCATCCCTAAAGCCCGACTCATACCTACAAAAAATGAAATGGCCGGGCATATCTAATATTCTTTAAATGGACCGGAAGAATTAATTAACGAATATAAATTATTAACTTGTTTAAAAAATGGCTACAATTTTTAAATTAGAGATATTTTTTTCTATTTTTTAGTATAAATATTTCTATGGATAGGAAAAATCGTCGGACAAATATTTAATCAAGAAATTTTTTATTGAGTTCGTCGGATCCCACAAATAGCAAAAAAATATTTCTAACAGGCCAGTTTGGGCAAAAAGCTCAAAGGATCAGACCTGGCTATCATATAACAAAAATTCTAATGGATTAGAACAAGCTGTAAGCTGTATATAGCAGATCTCTAATAATAGCAATACATATGCGCTCTTAACTTTAATACAGGATATTTAAATTTATTTTAAAAATATAATTCAAATTTTTAATTTTTTTTTCGTGCTTAGGAATAAATTTAATATGCGTGGCCGCTTTTTAAAATTTGAATTTTAAATATTATTTAAAACTATTACAAAAGCAGACTATAAAATTTGTCTAATTTATATATATCTTTTACATCCGAACAACTGCCTAAATATAAGGAAAATTCATAACAATAATTTCAATTATTTACATAGAGAAGAGGAGTAGATTATAGTAAAAATATTACCAAAAATATTTATTATTTATTAAATTTTTTTTTTTAGGGGGAAGGATTTAAAAAATAAATGAAACATTTAAATTGATATTTCCAGTGTTGGCCTAAGGGATAAGGGTGATGCAATCGGGCTTTTTGCCACTATATGGAAAAAGTCAGATGGGTTCTAAAAATGAGGAATTTTGCCCTTTTGAGTGGGTTATTTTGTCAATCTTTTTTAAAACTAAATATGATATCTAAATTAACTTAGTTTTAAAAGGTTCATTTATATCCACTTTTACCTCATAATCGTTACAGCAAACAAATTACAATAAATTTTGGTTAAAACATTGACGTCGATAAAGAGAGCAATAATGTGACTGGTAACATTTAAATTTAATTGCGCGCCAAAAAATAAGAATTTTGAACTAAAGTTTTTTGCGTACGCTCATGACAAATAGATGCTTACGGCATATTGCTAAGAGTTATAATCACAATATTTTAAATAAATGTGACCCTCCCTTCTTATATTTTAAAATTAGCATTTTTATATGAAATATCATAGGCAACAACAAATGGAAGATTTTGACGATCCAGGACGGTTTCAACGTGCTATGCAAAGCTGTTCATTCGAAACTCAATGCCACTTTGGCCAAACTCAATTCCTCGCAATCCGCCCTGCCCAACTTTCTTGTCAAAAGTAGCCCAGATACGACGGAAGCTTCCATAATAAGCGCTTACAAAAGCGTGCACGTAGGAATAATTTACGTAAATAAAGGCTTGATATGAAATAAAAATTATTTATATACTAAACGTAAACACTTATAAAAAACACAATCATGTGACCAGGACCATAACATTTATATTTATATTTTAAAGTTTCAATAACTTAAAAATGTATAAATTAAATGGACGAAGTTCTTAATTTTTTAAACATATTGTTAGAATAATGTTTACTTCTATGTAATTTTATATTATTCAGTCTCATTATCATTTCCTTCAAAAAAGATATATGGAAAATCTATTTATTAGTATGTGACCTTAATATCGAAAATATAATTAATAAACCTTCGTAACCTTATCGAAAATGAGAAATGAGTTATTTTAAATGTAAATATAAAATAATGGCCTAAATAATTTTTTCGAATTTACGCAAGTTTAATAATTTTTTAAAGCTAAAAAAATTAATAAAAATTTAAGCTTGAAGTTGTGCGAAAAAAGTATACAATAATTAATTTATATTTTTTAAAATTATAATATGAAAATGGGCAGTTATATTAATTAAAAGGGAGGTATAAAAATAATTTGGTAGGTCATAAATTCAAAACTAAAAAAATTTTTAATTAAGGATTTTGGACAAGTTTTATAATTTTATAAAGTTACGAAAGTTTTGGATATTTGAGGTTTTTAAAAAATATATTTAGGTGATGGTCTTAATAATCAATTTGAACAAATTATTAAATAACAGGCTTACTTCGAATTCGTAGCCCAGGCGATAATAAATAATAATAGTAGTACAAAAAAAGTTGATGGTGGCAAAACTCAACATTTATCTCAAACCTCCTGGGTAGATACCCATTTCCCAATATATCTAGGTTATTAATAATTTTACTTAAGTATAAAAATTTAATTACGCCCAATCCCTTGTCATATTTTAAAAATTTTGCTTTATACTTACTGAACACGAACACGAACATTAACAATAATTTATAATTTAAAAAAATTATTTCTTATATTTTCCTAAATAAGATTAAAGTGAAGGATTTATTTATTTTTACTATGATATTCCATAATTGTATCACGATCAATAAAAAATATTTAGATCACATTATACATGACCATGTGATACCTATCGCACACCGAACCATATGGCCGCGGGATTTAGGAGAATTTGGACGTCGCTGTGCTAGGGTATTATTAAAGAGGCACCTAACATTAAGGTTCGAATGCATCATCAATAATATATTTTATTTAAATTATAAATTACTCGAATGATTAGGCTTTCTCAAAACGAAGCCATCTTCTGCTCCACAGCCATTTTGTCTCGAATTGAAAAATTTGCCATTGGTTCCGAATTCAGAACTCATTTTATGGACGAATACTCGACCAATAATACCAATTTTAAAAATAGAAGTAATTTACATATTATAGATTATAAAATTTTTATTTTTTATAAGCGTTTTAAAAAAATATTAAAAACGTATATAAATAACTATTGTAAAATGAATGGAGTCCCCAAAAAGGAACTAAATTGAATCAAATTATTTAAATACTTGTATCTTTTTGAACAATTTATTAAACTTTGGGGTTATTAGCGTAATTTTTATTTTGGGGAACCCAAGAAGTTGTTTATTTCTAAATATGAAATCAATGTGATAACCTTTCTTAAAACATATATGGGTACGCCAATAACTTCAAAACTTTAATTATAGCAAAGATCTTATTTTTATTCCTTATTTAATTGGTTTACGATGTATAAATAACTGATTTTATTATTTTATAATATAATAAAGGTTTACCTCGAGCTAAAGATGCACAAGAATGTGCAACCAAATGTGAAGTGCTTTGCCTATTACTCAGGCAATTCAACGATTACATTATCGATATGGGACCATCTTTAAAAAAAATAATACAAGATTATCCTAACGGTATAATGATTATTATATAACAAAATTTTTAAAACATTTTTTTTAGCTTACTTAAGAATACTTTTTAACTTTCCATTATCAATATTTATAAAGTTATTTTTCTTCTTGAAAGAAAGAAAGAAGGAAGGAAGGAAGGAAGGAAGGAAGGAAGGAAGGAAGGAAGGAAGGAAGGAAGGAAGGAAGGAAGGAAGGAAGGAAGGAAGGAAGGAAGGGAGGGAGGGAGGGACAAGGGAGGGAGGAAAGAAAGAAAGAGAGAGAGATAAAAAGAAAAAAAGAGAGAGATAGAAAATAAGCAAACCAAGAAACAAAAGAAGTAAGGGAAGGAAGATAAGAGAAAAATAAAGTAAGAATAAAGAAAATATACTTTTATGGTTAAAATAATTAACTCAGGAAAGACTTAAATTAAAAAAAAAATTTACTCTTGGAATGCTCCAAAAAAGTTCAATCTCAACCATGGGCGTATCTAGCTGGCCACTCAGATGCCAACGTTTCTTACTTATCGGTCTTATGCCTCAAAAATTGTGTACTAAATGTTGGTCTCTCTACTAACATTCTCAAAACCTACGTCAATTACTACTGGTCACTTTTGCAAAACTATTCTAGGAGTCCTAAAAGTTTGAATCGAATCCTATTCTGTTAAATAAGATAAAAACTTTATTCATCGCTAGAGTATTGAAGTGGCCTACCATGATTTTTTAACATTTTTCAGTTTTATTTCTAAACAGAAATCACAGGTCACAGTCCGCATAAATTGAACATTTCAACGTTGCAAATAATGCATTTCAAATTTTATTGTGTAAACCTCCTGGCGTTAGAAACTATTTAAAAAAACGCAAATATACCTTTTTAAATACCTTTTATTCATTCATTTTGCTTCACAAGAAAGCCGATTACATTTTTACCCAGGTAAGAATAATAAGAGGAAAGTCACTAAGAATTACTTCCTAGATGTTTAATTATATGTGAACTAAAGGTCTCCAAAACCGGGCCGGGAATTTCTAAAAAAATTATATTCGGGCCGGACCGGGCAAAATAAATAACGGGCCACGGTCAATTTTTTATATGTATTTGAAGAATTCTGATATTTGAGAGAAGTGGTAATCCATAAAGTATAGTATTTTTAATTTAACCATCCCACAATATTATAAATAGTTGGGAAATTTTTTTTTAAAACCGAGTCGGGCCGGGCTACCTCAGTAAAAAATGGAAACCGGGCCAGGCAAAAAATTCTCACCTAGCATGGCCAGGTGTAAATTAAATTAAATATTATATAAAATGTAAAAAAATTCACTTATCTTTTAGAATGGATTATTTAGAAAAAAAGGTAGACGATAATATAATTTACAAAAACAAATTCTTTTTAATAATTCAATTAAAATTTTGAATCGACTTTACTAATTCAAAGATTAAAATGCAACCTCAATTTAAAAAAGGGATGCGTTCCTTTTTTTATTATTAAAAAAGTACGGCAAAACGCAAACGCTCAGTTTGTATGCACTATGAACGAATATCCGAAAGAATTATAAGATTAACACCCCCCTTCCCCCTCCTCTAATAAATGAAAAATTAATAACTAATGACTAAATTATATAATGCTTAAAATTTAGAATCATAAACCTTATCTTAAAATTTATTGAAACTGGAACTAGAACCTCTTTTTAAATTTCCAACCTGACCCGATCCTAACAAAAGTAGAACTAATTTTTGTTTATATTTTTGTATGATTAATTTTAGATGTATTTAATATTTAAATTTCTTTAAAGCTTATAAACAGAATTTAGAAGAGAAACCAGCCTTTGGAACTAGAGGTCTGCATTGGGCGGGGTTTCGACCCGACCTCCCACGCCCGCCCATCTAAGTGGGCGGGCAAATTAAAAATTTTTTAAACTATGGGCCGGTGAGTGGGCGGGTTAAGAAATTTAAACATGGGCGGGCTAAGAAATTTAAACATGGGCGGGCGGGATAAAAATTTTTTAAATCATTTAAGTAAATTTTAATAAAAAATTGTTCCTATGAACTTTTTTGGATATTAAAAATTAAAATGTCCTTTTTTGGTATCATAAAAACTTTTTTCTTAAAATAAATAAACTTTTTTGTACATTTAAAACTACTTTGGTGGAAACGACAAGAAAGAGATTTGCCAAAGCTATCAATCAAGATTAGCAAGAAAAATATGGTCAATTCCTGCAACTAGTGCTTCTTCTGAACGAGGATTTAGCATTGCTGGAAGGCTTTTAGAACAAAGTAGAACGTGTTTGAATCAAGGAAATGTCGATTTACTATTATTCTTGCATTTAATTACATATAATATCAATTTTATATTTATATTTTTTTCATAAATATTTTATATGATTAAATAAATTATCCATAAATTGAATATTTTTTTATGCTTAATATAGTAATTTCTTAAATTATAAAACTTTGTAGAGGTATAATGCTGAATTTTTTTTTATTAGATGCTTAAAAAATTGAAAGAATGGCCATAATTAAATTTTATAATAGAGGGCTTGAATTAAATTTTTTTTATAAATTGGATGAGCGGGTAGAAATTATAGAAATGGGCAGGCGGGCGGGTAAAAAATTTTAGACTGATGGGCGGGCGGGTGGTTATATTTTTTTTGAAAACTATGGGCGGGTGGGTTAAATTTTTTTAAAACATTGGTTGGGAGGGCTTATGTATAAAAACCCGCCCAATGAAGACTCTATTTGGAACTGTCAAATATTAGAACCAAAAACTATTTTATAGATATTACTCTTTGCCCATATTTCAAACTCTTGCATTTAAAAAACTTGGTTCCCGTTTCGCTGAAAAGAATTACTAAAAAAATGGGAATACTTTAAAATGTTATAGGAAATATTAGCTAAATTTCCATTTTTTTAGCCATTTAGCACCGATCCCGAAAATTGTTTTAACTATTGTTTTTTTGGGTGATATTAAGTATTATGATAAAAGTAAAAATATTTAACCTCTAATGTCTGATTAATAATATATAAGAGTATTATAATTTATAAATTATACTTACTTTTATCTCCTTAAAATTTATTCAAACCAAAAATTTAAACAATTGAGAAAATAAATAAGAAATGTGAAATAAAAACAAGATTTTAAAACGTGCATTAATATATAAATATTAACTGAGAAACAAGTATACAAAAGGGAAACCATTTATTATTTAACAAACAATAAGAAAGAAAATAAAGATGATAAATTTAACGATTGTTTTATTAGATAGTTCCAACAAATCACGTATACCGTTCAATAGTTGCTTAGGTCATTCCACGGCATTTTTAACCCTTTGGGCTCTCTACACAAGTAATACTTCCATTGTTCCCCCCATTCATTTCATAACGACCGATAGTATATTGGACTTGATCGATTCGCTTCAGGGATATAGTTCACGAAAAGGTTGCCTATCTCTTTTACTATTTTCTTGTCCTCTTCTCATTTCCACTTTCTTTGCCTTCTCGTCGATTCTCCTTACTTATTTCTCATGTTACTAACACTTACGTCATTTCCGCACCAAAATGATGTTTTCTCTTCTTTTATCAAAATGATAATAGAACAAGTAATTAGTGATTTATTTTTACTTTATCTAATTTTATAAAAAATGCATTTAATTTATATTTTTTTAATTAAACGTTTCGAACCCCGGGCTCGGGTATTAAGGGCTGGACTCAAGGCCTAAAATTGAAAAAAAATTGAAAAAAAATTGAACTGGGCGAGTGCTTGAAAATTAATAAAAAATTTTTATTTGCCGAGTTCTACTATCTTTGGCCTCTAATTATTCCTAGCGATTACTCTCTCTCAAGGCTCCCTCCTCTCTTAGCTTGCTTTATATCCAGCATTTTCATAGACACGAGAGAAGAATTTCGGGATTAAAACTGATTCTAGATTGCTTAAAACTTTTCTATCTCATTATGCTAATTTATTCTTTATGCCTCCGGATATGTTCATCATTAGACTTTTTCAACGACCACTTAACAACATCTCGCGGTATTCATACAAATTCTTTTTCTATATTGTTTGGCGTTATTCTTACACTTTGGCAACAAATATTGCATCTGGATAATTTCATCTCAAATTTGGTTCCATGTTTTCTTTTTTAAATTTTTTTTTTCAAACATTTTTAATTTCCTCTATCCTTTTTTTAATAATTCATATTATTCCCTTATATTTTTTCGTTTAATAGTCTTTCCACATACTTCCATTTATTTCTTACCTCATTACTAATAACAATCTTCTCTTCAGAAATCTTTTAATAACTTGCTCTTACCTTTCTCGCCATCTCCTTCGCAATATATTAAATACATTTCCTATCTTCCCAATATATTAATCATAATCTGTTTATTTGTTTAGGAGGTGATCCAATCTCCAAATTTTATGCTGAAAATGAAGAAATCGTCGATGAAAAAGTTCTATGGGATACAATTGAGAAGATTAGAGCGGGTTGGCAAACCCTAAATTGCGTTATAATTACTGGTTATTTAAAAAAAGCATAATTTTATTTTTAAGTATTAAGTGTAAATATTTATCAATTTTTTTAATTATGGTCCTTTTTAATTAATAAGTGTTCCTATTTAACAATAAATGTCTTTTTAAACATATTAACAACATTTTAAATTGAATTAATATTTTTTTCTATATATTTCAATTCCACTACCCAAAAAATTTTGCCACATTTTAAAGTGTACCGATTAATCTTAAAAGGTTTAAAGGGTCACTTAAGTTGTAAAAAAAAAGCTGGAAAAGGAACAATTCTGTAGTTATTTTATTTTTTCGATACGATCTCTGATAATATTTAATCTTGGGGAAAATAAGAAAAATATAGGATTTATGTCCTATTTCCAGTTATGAGTTAAAATTGTTTTTAATGTAAATGTCGTATTGATGGAATTCATTGGGATTCCGAATCCAAACTTAGAAATTCGAGATTTTGAATCCCTGGTTTTATTCTTAATTTTTTTAAAAAAAATATTTTTTATATATACTTTTTTAAAATATAAAATATTTATTCTAACCACTATGTTTATACCTAGTCCTAGCTCAACCAAACTAGTTATTATTTTTTTCGCAGCACGCCTAACTAATTTGATATTTTATGATTTCGAGCCACATTTCCCCCCCCCCCCCCCAACCCCCTTTTTTTTAATTGAATAAAAAAAACATGATTTCAAAGAGATTTGAGAATGGCAAACTAGTCATTATGATTTTTCAGCAAATTAATAAATAAAACCTGACTTGCAAATCGCTAACTATTGCATAGAGCGTTAATTAGCCAGACAAGTCAAACGATCCAACTCATTTGGAGAGTTTAATCCAGTTCGTCTGTTAATGAATATTACTATTTGAAACAAGCTGAGAAATATTTTTACGATGAAATCCTCAAAATGAGTGGAGTCGTTTGCCCAACTATTACAAACGCTAATGAGTCATAATTCTATCCCCTTAGATATACCCCCTCTCTAACAATTGAATGATATTTCTATCACACTTTCAGTTTTTCTTTACTTTTTTGAGGGGATTTCGTTGGCATGAATGAAATCTCGGTTTTTTCGTGGAACTTGATCTATGTACGAGGTTTTGCTAGTGCTAATATCCATTTTACACAATGTGGTTGGATTTGGATACTCGTCTTCACTGGTTTCCGAATTACCATTGTTTGCATGGAGGTAGTAAATGGTAACGTTCTTTGAACGGTTTCGTTTTGTAAATTTAATTTACTTGCGCTATACTAGCGTGGATCATCTTTATATGGGGTATCAGGGTTTGGTATTTTGTCCATTCGGTTTTCGTAGGGTGGCGGGATTATATCACATTTGGGGTTTTGAGTTTTAGTTTTGTCCTCGTTGTCGGGGTCGCAGATCGTTATTCATTTCTCTCGGTTTTAATTTTATTGGTGTGGACCGGGTTATCGGCAGTGTTTGTGAATTTCCGTGAAAATTTATTCGGTATTGTTTTAATGAATTTGTGGATTTGTCTTTAGCGCCCGGGTTATTTCAACTTCAGACGGGAACCCCGACGGTCTTAGATAATATTTAAGGTAAGTCTTGCTTTATTTCTTGTATGTTCTTGGTATTTTTTACTAGAATGACTCTATCCAAGATGGGGGGAGGGGCTTGGTTATCGGTGGTTACCGTAGACTTAGTAAATGGGACATTTCTTATAACTTATCTAGGTTTTTATTTGTCCTAGAGGTTGAATAGTGTGACCGGGGAAAAATTTTAAGAATTATTGGATAGTTTAATTAGTAGATCTTTGGAAAATGTTTTATGTTTTTTTTGTTAATAATGGTAACGGATTGTGTCAATTTTCACTGAAAGGGGTATATCAATGATATTTGCTACTAGTTTGTTTTAGATTTATATTATTCGACGGAATTATCTCTTTTCATTTATTTTTAATTATGGAAACCATTTTGATGTGTTAGATTAAAAACTAAAGATTGATGAACAACGATACCGTTTTCGGCAGTAGCCACCCAATCTCATGGTTACCAAAGTCTCGAATGACTTCAAGGGGCCGTAGCCCCCGTCGTCCCTTGTCAATAACCCCCTACCTCTTTGTACATCGAGAATAATGTTTATCTTAATTTAAAACTATGGATGCCTTGCTAAAAACCCTCGATTGTCCTTGACTCCCCCCCCCCCCCATTATTTTAGATTCATAAGTATGGTTAAACCGCAAATAAAACCTGGTCCCTAAGCTCTCACCCCCGAAAACCCGATGAATCAATCGTGATCGTATTCGCCTCACTCCATTGTTTGGAGAATCCATCAATTTGGCCCTGAACACTTCAAAGGTGTGCTATAATCAATGTTTAATATCCTTTTAAAACAAAAAAGGAGAATTGTTTTGCTATTAACTAAATGTAATCCAAATTTATATAGTTTAGTGAGCACTTATGATAGCTTATTAAATGAAGGAAGGAATATATATTTTTACAAAAATTTTACATAATTTTGGTACTTGTGGATACAAATAAAATTGGCAAAAAAATTCGTAACTAATTAGAGTGAGCTAGGACGAAGTATAAGCTTTATAGATTAGTACAGATTTTTTTATTAAAAATGGGGATTTGGGATATATAAATAATAATTTTAAAAAGGAATCTTAAAACGTATGGACTCGAGATCTCGATTCCCAACATTGTGATTCCATATCCCAGTACTGCATATATAATACTGAATTATTGTGAAATAATGAATTATTTATTATATGTTTTTGTAATTAACGTCTTCAGTTTATATATCTTCTACAAATCAATCTAAATACATCAATTAATCATCATGCACAATTAACAAATATATTTGAATTACAATTAATCACATTACAAGGTTAATTGATTCTATTACAAATGCTATATTCAATATTCAAAAAAACATAATATAAATAAGGCGAATCATGGGTAAAAAGAAATGTTGCCAAATTTATCTCCATTTGGGAACATTTTAGTGCTGTTACCCCCGATACCTTGAAAAAACTTAAAAATTTACCTCCAGAATCTCAAAACTGGTATGGGTTTCTGGAAAATTTTTGTGGAACGTTATACAGTATAATATAATTTTGAATTTTTTATATTGCTCTTTTTTTCTTAAAAAATACCCTAAGAAAATCTATACAAATATCACGTGAAAGAGAATTTATGTATATTAGGTATTTACTATAGGTATACTATTTTGTGAATATATGGAGATATTGTAAATTAAAGGAAATAATTGGACCTTTAAAGAATCATTTGAACATACAGCATATAATATATTAATAATTAGGGGTGTACCGATTTTTGGAGGCCGATCCGATCCGATATTCCCGATATTAAATTGATATCGGCCGATTACCGATCCGATATTATATCTAATTGTATTCTATAAAGATACCAATGATTTTAATTTTTAATATATTTTTTATTAGTATACCATCTATAATTTAACTATACCATAACATATGTCATTTAAATATATTATAATGATCAGTTATAGATTACATTCAATTCAATTACAATTCTAAAAATATAAATATTTTTTATTGATAAATCACTTATTTCTATAAGTAATAATATTAATCTATTTACATAATAAGTAATAAACAATTATATTATGAAATTTGGAAAATATTTAAATTAATATATAAAATTAATATATAAATTAATATATAAAATTAATATATAAATTAATATATAAAATTAATATATAAATTAATATATAAAATTAATATATAAATTAATATATAAAATTAATATATAAAATTAATATATCGAAGATTTCTTTTTAGAAATACCAAAATTTCCAATTTATCAGAGGTCAATCTGCGGCGATGAGGACTGTTAACTTCACTAAAAACAGATTCTGAAGAGATTATCGCACACTTTTATAAACAGAATGCGCAAAAAAAAATAACAATATGGCAGAATGTTTATTAATTATTATTAAAAAATTAAACATAAAAAGGAATTTCGATTTTATTTACAGGGTTTCCCATTCAAAAAAGGAAAAGTCCCAATCAAAAAAGGAAAAGTTTCAATTATAAAAGGAAAAGTTTCAATCATAAAAGGAAAAGGTCCGATCAAAAAAGGAGAAGGGTCGGAAAAGGTTCAATCAAAAAAGGAAAAGTGTCAATCAAAAAAGGAAAATTCCCAAAAAGAAAGGAAAAAGTCCAATTAAAAAAGGAAAAGTGTCAAACAAAAAAGAGTTTCAATCAAAAAAGAAAAAGTGTCAAACAAAAACGGAAAAGATCCGATCAAAAAAGGAAAAGTGTCAATCGAAAAAGGAAAATTCCCAAAAGGAAAATTCCCAAAAGGAAAGGAAAAGTGTCAATCAAAAAAGGAAAATTCCCATTCAAAAAAGGAAAATTTTTATTTATTTTTGCTATTCCTTCTTATTTTATTTCTAACTTTTTGCGATTTCTTTACTTTATTTGTATCTTTTCTCAATTTTTTTTTACTATATCTTTTCTCAATTTTTCTTATTCTCATTTTTGATAATTCTTTTGTATTTTTAAAAATAATTTATAAATTTAGGTCCATTTTTTTAACAATTTTTTTTTTCATCATAAATATGTCGTAATTTTTAAAGGGATCATAACTATCCGGGATCTTCACGGGATTTAAAGGGATCCCTATAAAATTTCAATTTTTTAAAGGATAAATAACTATACGGCATTATCACGTTTGAACCATGATATAGAAGAATCTTATTATAAAAACATTTTCTGCGCATTTCGTTTTTTAATTTTATTGTTATTCATTAATTTTCAATGTTGTTTTTTAGCCTTATGAAATAATATATGTCTAATATAGGGTATCAATCGATAGCTAATCAAAAGATCTATTCAACTGGAGGTCAATCTCTCCTCCATAATGGGCGGGTTTAGGTCTTGGGGGGTCAGAAATATTTTTATCAACACAAAATATCGATATGGGTATCAAATAAAAGCTAATTTTAATATGGTTTGACTGAAAGTCTTCATCTTAGTCTGGATGGGTATGACGTGGTCTGGGGGGTAGGGAAGGAGGGAGGGGGGGGGGGTGTAAAAAATAATATTGATATGGGTATCAAATAAAAGCTAATTTTAATATCGTTTGACTGAAAGTCTTCATTCTTGGTCTGGGTGGGTATGACTTGGTCTGGGGGGTAGGGGTGGGGGGAGGGGTGTAAAAAATAAATTTTTTGATATGGGTATCAAATAAAAGCTAATTTTAATATCGTTTGACTGAAAGTCTTCATTCTTGGTCTGGATGGGTGGGCGGTTAGGGGTGGAAGTGGGGGGTGTAAAAAATAATTTTTTTTGATATGGGTATCAAATAAAAGCTAATTTTAATATGGTTTGACTGAAATTATTCATTTTTTGTCTTGATGGGAATGACTGTCAGACCCTCAACATATTAACAAAATGTCTAGTAGGATAGAATTTACAGAAATAAAAGAGAATGAAGATAAAATAATTTTTTAAATCTTTTTACGATTCCAATCCTGAACTTGAAATATATAATTCAACAGTGTTCTATATTTAGCGCTTAATTTTTTTAGTATCGATAGCTTTACCGTGCTACATTTTTTTAAAAAGAGCTCATTACTAAATAAATAGCAAAAATTATTATAATAATTTTATAATTAATTCTAAAATCATAATCTTTTTATTCAATCTGTACCAAAATTATTTTCATTATCAATGTCTACTGTCGACATTTAAAAATTATTATTTTTTTGAAAAATATATTTACAATGCATATTTTTAAATGTAAATTTAAATAAATAAATAAAAAGATTATGATTTTAGAATTAATTATAAAATTATTATAATTATTTTTGCTATTTATTTATTAACGAGCTCTTTTTAAAAAAATGTAGCACGCTAATGCCATCGATACTTAAAAAAATAGCTATGGAATAACGCGTTAAATATAGAACACTGAAAATTATATATTTCAAGTTCAGGATTGGAACCAAAAAAAGATTTAAAAAATTGTTTTATCTTCATTCTCTTTTATTTCTGTAAATTCTATCCAACTAGACATTTTGTTAATATGTTGAGGGTCTGACAGTCATACCCATCAAGACAAAAAATGAATAATTTCAGCAAAACATATTAAAATAAGCTTTTATTTGATACCCATATCAAAAAATATTTTTACACCCCCCCCCCCCCTCCTTCTCCACTCTTACCCTCCAGGTCATACTCATCCAGACCAAGAATGAAGACTTTTAATCAAACGATATTAAAATTAGCTTTTATTTGGTACCCATATTAAAAAAAATTATTTTTTACACCCCATCCCCCTTCACTCCTTCCCTACCCCCCAGACCAAGTCATACCCACCCAGACCAAGAATGAAGACTTTCAGTCAAACCATATTAAAATTAGCTTTTATTTGATACCCATATCGATATTTTGTGTTGATAAAAAAATTTATGACCCCCCCCCCCCAGACCTAGACCCGCCTATTATGGGGGAGAAATTGACCTCCAGTTGAATAGATCTTTTGATTAGCTATCTTTTGATACCCTATATTAGACATATCTTATTTCATAAGGCCAAAAAAAACAACATTGAAAATTAATGAATAACAATAAAATTAAAAAACGAAACGCGTAGGAGAACACTTTTTAAAATAAGATTCTTCTATATCATGGTTCAAACGTGATAATGCCGTAAAGTTCTTTATCCTTTAAAGCATGAAAATTTTAAAGGGATCCCTTTAAATCCCGTGAAGATCCCGGATAGTTATGATCCCTTTAAAAATTACGACATATTTATGATGAAAAAAAAAATTTGTTAAAAAAATGGACCTTAATTTATAAATTATTTTTAAAAATACAAAAGAATTATCAAAAATGAGAATAAGAAAAATTGAGAAAAGATAGAGTAAAAAAAATAAATTGAGAAAAGATACAAATAAAGTAAAGAAATCACAGTTAGAAATAAAATAAGAAGGAATGACAAAAATAAATAAAAATTTAAGAAAAATTGAAAAATTTATAATTTTTTTTAAGAAAAATTGAAAAATTTATAATTTTTTTTAAAAAATTAAAAAAAATTTCGATTTTCCTTTTTTGAATGGGAATTTTCCTTTTTTGATTGACACTTTTCCTTTTTTGTTTGGACCTTTTCCTTTTTTGATTGAACCTTTTCCTTTTTTGTTTGGACCTTTTCCTTTTTTGTTTGGACCTTTTCCTTTTTTGATCGGACTTTTTCCTTTTATGATTGAAAATTTTCCTTTTTTGATTGGGACTTTTCCTTTTTTGAATAGGAAACCCTGTATAAAAATAAATGGTTTTTTAGATATAACTTTTTTTAAAAATTTTATAATATTTTATTTTTGTTAAAAACGCCATTTTTTATCGGATAGGATCGGGCCGATATTTCACCCATTTTAAAATATCGGTTATTGCCAAATATTATCAAATTTTCTGATATAATCATTTCTAAATATAATATTGGGGGAGGGATAGAATAGGCAAATAAAATGTATATTTTAAAAAAAATTCAAGAAAATGACAATTAAATTAGCTTATTTTTAATTGTTAAAAAATTAAATTCATTTCTATTCTAAATTTATCACTTCCTTTCTTTTAACAGCTATGGATAAATTTGTGGAACGGTTCAAGGACAGGTCGTTTATGCCTGAAGGACATTATAAAAGCTTTGCACATCTAGTCGGTTCGGCTCTGGCTTTTATTTCTAAGTAAAATGAGATATAATAATATATTTATACTAAAATGATGAATACAGTATATATCAGAGTTTTAATACGGAAGGACGGAATTGGAGAAAATAATTAAGCGTATAAGGAAAGAATAAAAATATTAAGGGGGAGAAACAGATTGATTTATAAAAGTTTTAAAAAACTATGAAATCAGAAGTGATTTTAATTTTAATCGTTGCTTTATATACTCGTAGTTTTAATTATTCCCCTATCATATAATATAAACAAAAAAGTATTACAGAAACCGTTAGAAATTTGCCTCCGAATCTCATCATTGTAATTTGTCGGGCCAAATCCCATTTGTTTTCCATCATCAATCATTTACCACCCAAAACATTTGAAAGTTTTTCTTCTTTTCTTTTACTCACGAAATTATTTTTTTTATATGAGGGAATTTTTAAAATATAATTACTATAAATTATTCTTGATTTAATATAATTTATATTAATCATCCTTTAATTCGATTACATAATAAGTAATTGATTTATTAAAATAAAAGTTTGCTATTTATAATAATTAAACATAATTAAGTGCTTTTTTGTCCTTTATCTATAAATTAATGTTAAAAAAGCAATTTTAATTTATGTTTCGAGTTGAATGTTTTTTTTAAAGCTCTAGTTAGCAAGGACGGGTATTCATTGAATATCAGTTGATATTTTTTTTTTCAATTGATTTGTTAAGCGTTCTATTTAACTTATTAAATGCCCTTTTTAATTATATAAAATTTAAGAATGTCACAAAGCTGGATGCTAAATTAAGCTAAAATTGAAATAAGTTATGAAAATGCGATATATATAATATTTATAACTTAAATTAGAAAGCTATAATACCCTGCTAAGAGAGATTGTCGTTGAAACTTTGCAATCGGCCGATTCTTTTTCTTCATCGTATTATCAAAATGATACCACTACTAATAATATGAGTATTCTCTATCCAGCATTATCCTCTCCCATTCGATACACTTCAGCCCCACACATCCCGTCAGCTGTTTCTTGGGGTCGTATCCAAAACATAGATGGGGCTGGTTACGTTGATAATGATCAAAAGAATTTTGGGAGAAATTATAAAAAGTATATAGTGTGCTTTGGGAAGAATGACAATTTTTTTTCATTGTACATAATTTTAATCGTTAACTTTTATTAGAACAAGGGTTATTTTCAAGGTTGTCAAATTTATTAAAATAAAAACGAAATAATATTTAGCCATAACAAAAAAATAGATTTTAAAATATTGAAAAAATCAGTTCATAAAATTAATCTCATTCATATTTTAGGAAGATTTTATATTTTTAATTAAATTGTTTTTATTTATTACATATTCCTGAAAATCTTTACAAGTATACTTAAAATTATGTTTGATCATTTAATCAGCTTTAAGCCCTGTCCTGGGTCGACTTATTTCCAAATACATGGCTGTTTAACTGGCTATTTTGTATCGACTAAACACCCTAAAAAGCAAAAGAAATTTTTTTAAAAAACGATAAACAAAAAAGTAAAAAAACATAACAATAAAACGAAAAAAAAAATAAATAAAAAAATAAATAAAAAAATACTAGAATAAAATACAAAAAATTACAATGCCGTTAAATACTTAAAATGAACCAAATAGGGCTGTCCTAATTCAAAAGCTGTTTAGTCGAGGCTAAAAGGTAATTAAAGTATCATATCAAAATTAAGTCGAACCAGGACACCTCCTTTAAGCTGCTATTGATAATCTATTAGGATCTTTTATCCAGAAATTTTTCATTAGATTAAATATACGCTATGAATCAGAATTTGAATGTGGTAATGAAAATATAGTATTGCACATTTTTTCAAATTTTGGGCTATGTTATTTGAAAAATAAAGTATACCCATTTCAGCCTAACTTGTTATGATATATTATTGTTGGATGAAGAGCATGGATTCCTGAAATAATTAATTTATTACTATTATATTAAAATGTCATAATATATCCAACTTTCTCAAATTCTAATTTATTATCAAGTATCATAATATTTAGCTTTTCCCAGTTATTGTTTCTAAATTCGTTTTTTTTGTTTTTATGAAATGATTGCATTAATGAATTTATTAGCTTCAGAAATAATGAGACTTTATCATGATAATCACATTGGCCCTTTCTTCCTGCATTTTGTATTCCGATTCTGAGATAATTTAAGTATTCAAAATTAATAAAATTCACACTCGCGATATCAGCCCAAACAGCTGTTATAAATAATTTATAGTGAAATGGTAAAATTTTCAAACCGCACACGCATCGATGCAATATCATTCGATTTCTCCTAATCCGATAAATATTTTTTTTATAAGTCTACTTGAAGTTCCTATTTCTTTATTAAATAGCTCTGTATCATTAATTGGGATTGTTTTAGTATTTACATTATTTGATGTGTCCGTTTTTTAGATCGCGAAAATAAATGAATACTTTTTTCCTAAGAAAATTGCTCTAAATTTTGAAAAAGTATGTTATATTATTATCTCTTTATCATATTGGAATGTTGATTCAGAGTGTATATTTAGTCTGATGAGAAATTTCTGGAGAATTGATCGTAATTTCCGCTTTTTGGTTGAATGAATTAGACAATTCTGGCTTGTTATCGGGAACAACTCAATTTTCAAATCAACAGGAATTGATTCTTTTTATGCTATAAAACAAACTAATTTTAAAATACATCAACTTTTTTTTAAAAAAATAATTAAATTGTTTTCATGCATGAATATAATAAAACAAGAAAATAGTTTAGCATGGTCTATAGAAGATCATATAAAATTTTTAGAATAATGTTTTTTTTAATTAAAATTTTTTATTAAATAAAAAAACTAATAAGCCTAATAAAATAAAGAAACTAAAGTTTAATAGGAAATGCAATCATATTTAGAAAGAAAAGCATTGAATTTCAAAAAAACCGTATTTTATATTTATGAAAGAAGATGACAGTTCCCTCCCCCTATTATAGTGGTTATTAGCTCTTTTATAAGAACGGCAGTTTCTGCTTTCCTCCCCCCTTATCTTTACCGAGAACTTGTTAGTATTTATTTATATAAAAAAAATAATGTTAGCTATATCTTGAGGCGATACAATTTATTTTACCTTACTTAAAACAGAGCTATAATTTAACATTTTTATTTTAAAATGATCCATGAATCCAGGGATGCGAACCCGACAAAATTTTTGCCAGGGTTCGGTTCGGGTTCGGTTCGGGGTATAAAAAAAAAGGTGGGTTCGGGTTCGGTTCAGGGAAATATTTTTGAACCGGGGTTTGGTTCGGGTTCGGTTCGGGTTCAAGAATTTTTGAGTTGATAAAAAAAATTCTATATTTAAATCATAATAAAAAACTAGACATAAATTTGATATAAAAAATAAATTTTTTATTTTATTTATAGGCAAATATAGTTAAAAATACAAAGCTATAGTCATGTATCAATTTTAAAAATTTTATTTAGACGTATTAGCATAATATCTTCCAAGAGTTGTTCACTCATCCTCGATCTATGTGGTGAAAGAATGAATTTTAAATGTGAAAAAGATCTTTCAACGCTAACCTATGTTAAATGTATTTATATGTGAAAATATGAAAAATTAACTTGGGTTGCAGGAACAGCAAATAAGATTTTAGATAAAATATATAATTCAGGGTGTTCCAGCTTAGCAGACTCCCAAAAATGCAAAATATTTTCCTTCTTATCTAATCTTTTATAATCGCTAAATCCAGTAATTATTGTTCCAATACTTTTCTCAGCAATCGTTGGCCCTCTTTTAAATATTTTCTCCTGCCTTTCTTTAAGTTGTATCAATTTCTCTAAATCATCTTCTTGTTCAATAACTTCATCGGAACTAATATCATCAGATAAAATCGGCGTTGTTAAGCTTTTAATTCGTCTCCATAAATTGACAAGATGTTTTTTCGCACAAATCTTATCATCATCACTAAGTAATACCTGTAATATTTAAGGATTTATATTTAAATATTTCATAAAATAACAATTTTAATATAAATCTAAAATAATTAATTTACTAAGCTTTTAATTAACCTTGTATCTTGGGTCCAGGTATATGGCAGCTAAGAGAATTTCGTTCTTTATAAACCTTTCTTCTCTGTTTTTAAGACAAGACTATAGTAATTGAGCAAAATGGTTTGGATTTTTTTCCAGTTCGATGCAGCATCTTAACCATGCTGCATAAAAATCTGTCAGTGTTAACTGTTCAGATTGGAATTGTTTGGTTGCGATTTTTAGCGGTTTTAAAATTTCAACAATCGTTATTATCTCTTTCCAATCTTCAGTCAATAAATAATCAGATTGCTCTGTAAAAAAATCTTCGATATTGGGTTTTAGTAAAATCAGCCTTTCTAACATATCATGGGTTGAATGCCATCTGTGGCAATCTAACACAGGCTTAGGGAGTTTCATATTTTTTAATAACTTTTGGTAAGTGGGATGTCTTAATTTTAAATTTAGGCTCCTAGCTTTTGCAATGGTTTCCACAATAGGTGATAATTTTATAGCATCTTGAAGTGCCAGCTGAAGTGTGTGAGCTGCACACCGTACACTATAAATCGGATAGGATATAATAGTTGATAAAAAAGTATTTTGTATATCATCAATATCATATTTATATACATTTACATCCATATTTTCCTCATCTGCTGATTCACTCCTTATATCATAATCAGTTTCAGATTGCAGGAGCTTTATAGCTCTTAAAAAATTACAACCATTATCAGAAGTAATTGTGTATATTTGTTGAATATTAATTTTAAATTTTAGTAAAGTTTTTAATATATTCTCTTTTATATATTCTCCTGTACATCTCTCTTTCAGCTCTACAATTCCAAGAGTCCTCAAATTTATAATGGACTTTGATATAAATTGAATATTTACACCAAGAATTGACCTATCTAGTCGTTGAACTGCATCAACTTTTAAACTTATTAATTTTCCTTCTACCTCTCTCGATATTTTGTCTCTAATTGATTGGGCTGTTTTATTAATAGTTCTGGATAAATTTTCTTTGTTTATAACTAAATTGAGCCCAGATAGGAGTGGATTTATAATTCTTTGAAATCCCGAATCTTCAATAATTGATAAAGGCCGGCCATTTACAGTAACAAGTTCTAGTATAGAACTCATCAAATCATTAGATGATATATTTATACTTATATGCTTTTTTGGAAAAAAGGTTTCTATATTAATTTTAGGTTTTTTTGCCATTAACAATTCCTGATATTTGGTTTTTTCATTTAAATAATTTAAATATTCATTGTTGTGATTTCTTTCCAGGTGTCTTTCTAAATTTGACAAGTGATTACCAGACATTTTTACTTTGCAATATGAACATATTGATTTTTTTTCTATTGTATTAAGGGTAAAATGCTTATCAAATATGACTTTATCTTTAATCTTAAATCTATAAAAAGAGAACAATTTTTTTAAATAGCAATGATTTCAGAATTAAAAAAGAGATATTTATAAATTTAATTTCATTTATAATATGCACTTCATTAATATCTTGTAAAAATTAAACTGAACCAAAAATAAATGATTAGCATATATAAATTTTAAAATCATTTTAATAAGTTCACAAAAACTGCCCTACATTTAACAATTTTTAAGTTAGATGTTTAGAATTTTTTAAATTAACAATATAATAATTTTTACTTTGATTTGTTAACCATTTTCTTCTAATTAATAATCTTTAAGAATAATAAGATAAAAATTTAAAAATAAATGGCGTAAATTAATTCAATTGTTTAAAATTTTTTAACACTCCAATAGGAATCGAGAATAAATTTAAAAATGGCATAAATGAATTAAGTTGTTTAAAATTTATTAAGACTTCATTTAATTGGAAATTTGAAAATATAATATTTGTATTTACATATATTAATATATGATTTTAAATAATACACTGAACCCGATTGAACCCGGGTTCAAATAAAATTCTTGGGTTCGGTTCGGGGTTTTGGAAATTTTATAAATGGGGTTCAGGTTCGGTTCGGGTTCAGAGTTTTTTTCTAAAAACCCGGGTTCACTTCTCCGGGTTCGGGTTCGGTTCGAATCCCTGCATGAATCATCCGGGGACTTCCTCAAAAAACGCTCTTCGCCATGCTAGAAAATTTTAATTATTTTTTTAAAACTTATATAAAGCAACGGGATCAACGCAGAAGAAATAACGGTCGTCGGTTGCCAAGAAACTGTAATTGGAATATTGATGCCAAAGTATACTGATACGGGACGGGGACAAAAGCAGGAATTGGAGAATTTAGTATATTTTTATATAATCCATGAAATTTTATGTATAAAAAAATTTATTTCGAAAAACTTTTAAATTCGTATAAAAAAGATTACGTTTATAATAGTATTTATATTAGTCATTTAATTTAATCTTTTTTAAAAATATATATTTACGTTTTAGCACATATCTAATACATATATATTGTAAAAGCATAATTTAATAAAAAATGAATAAGTAAAAAAAAACTAAAAAGAGGTTAATTTAAAAAGAAAAGCAAAACTTACTTCTTCATATCAAATACATTTAAAAAAGAGACAAAACAATGTTATTAGTGCTAAATGTTCAAGTTGAGGAAAAAATATAGTCAACATTAATTTTGACGCTTAATGTTAATATCATTTTCATTTTATTGAGTCCACAATGCACCTTTTTGTAAAACTAATAAATTTATACTCTACATGTACGTTTTAACCACCTTAATTCAGGTTTATTCGGATAGATACGAGGTAATTTAATATATAAATATTTATTTTAAATACTCACATTTTGAGAATTATAAAAATCAGTAAGTTTTTACAGGTTACGACTTGCCACATAAAGTTGTGAATAACCTTACTGAAATAATAATTTTTGCATAAAATAATGTGATTATTATTAGATGTTGCAGCATAGGGTATGAAAGAATTTAATTTAAGGTTTGGTGAAAACCTTAAAATTTATATCATTTTCCAGAATTGTAATCCACTATGTAGACAATCTTACCATGAAATTTCGTAATATACAAAAATCTACAGAAAAATTGATTCAAAATTTCATGACAAAATTGTCTCAAATTAATTGTGGACATAGGTACTACACACATGCTGGTATACAATTCCGGCAAGATCAAGTTAAAAAATTTTAAAAATACTCACGCTACAAATGTTATTAGTTTTAAAGATTTTTCCATGCCCCTATTACAAAATCGGATCATACTGAATTCCTCCATACCCTACGACATATACACCTATTTTTTAAAATATAAGCTAGCCTAGCTCATATATGTGTTTTAACGGGATTAAACAGATCAGGTCATTTGTTTAAGATATTTTTCTGAAACGTATTTAACTGATAATTTTTTAATTCTTCTAAAATAATATAATTAATATTTTTTATAAATATTAATTTTACCAACTTGGTATTACAAAATTATGTTTACAAACTGATATTATTTTGCATGATAATAATGATGCTTACTTAACTTTATTCAAAATGCTTTACATAATAGGAGTTTTTTGTGGATTTGCACCTCAAAATATCTGATAAACTCCCAAATACCTTTAATTAGAGTCCTTTTCCGTTTATAAAATAACTGATTAAACTAATGTTGCTAAAGGAACTAGTTATATTTGTAAACTGTAACTAGTTGTAAATAGCTATATTTTATAGAATGTAACTGCTAAATATAACTAGTTCCTTTTTAAATTTTCATATATATTATTATAAATATATTCAAATAATTAATTTTATTTTTGATATATTATATTTTTTAATTAATAATATCTGATTCTATATATTGGCCTTTATTAAATAGTTGATATTGATAAATGAATCAGACATAGAATCATAGCCATAGCCTGGATTTTACTAGGGGGGAAAGCACATTATGTGATTGCCATAAATTTTAACGGTATGTTCACCTTTGTAGGCTTTTGGTTAATTTATATTTTTATAGAAATAATTTTGGTTTTTCACTTTTTCTAAAAATTTTAAAATTATTTACTTTATTTTTTTTCTTCAAATTCTTTTTTATATTGTTATATATTGAATATATTTTGGGGAGAGAAATTTCCGAAGGGACGTCTATGTACAGAATTTAATACGAACTCTGACTCGTCATTTAATGAGGATGACCTTCAAATGATTCATAATAATGAAATAGATAATTCACCATCCACTTTTAAAAGTATTACCAAAACAACAGACTTTGATGTTAAATTTCCTTAGCCAAGCTTCAAAAAGTATTTTAGATTTCACATAGAGAAGACTGGTAGTACAGGCAATATTAACCTTAAGTGATTCATATGTAGTATTGTTAAACGGCGCAATTTAGATCGATTTTTATAAAGGGCTCGATTAAGATTTTGGCCAAATAATAGCTTAAATTTGTTCATAGATGGCAAGGTTTGGACTTCGATTTAGCAAATCTCGAGGCCTTTTTTATTTTAACTAAAATCTTAATTGGGTCGTTTTTAAAAGTCGACCCAAATCGTGCCGTTTAACAATACTACTCCTATGCCTTCCAAAAAAGGTATATTTCAGCATCTAAGTCATTTACAGCCAAGCTATGGGAACAAATCGCTGTAAGATTATTTTAACATAATATGTCATAGTGCGCACAAATTGAGCGTTAGAGTTTGCAGTACGTTTTAACGTAACGCATCTTTGTTTAAATTGAAAGCAGTACGTTTTTTTATAATTTATTTAATAAAATGGAGTTTATTTCTTACCTTAAGGTAAAATTAGGTAATACATATTATATATTTTGTTTATTTGGATTTCCTAAGAGTTTATGATTCAATCAGGGTTTTCAAATTGTTTTGGGGCCTTGGATAGAAAACATATGCATATAAAATACCCAAAAAATACTGGTTCAACATTTCTGTTACAAACACCGAATGTCTGTTATGAGGGAAAGCAATGCATCATCCAATGAAGCAAGAAATATATCAGAAATTTTATCATTTATGAATTTTTTCAAATTCATAAATGATTGTATATGTATTCTTTTTTTTAAAAATGTACACACATCTGTAAATATACATATATATATTTATTTGTTTATCCTACCTTAATATATATATAATAATAATCTATATATTTTAATAAAAATACTAAATAAATTTTGAATAGTTTGCTTATTTATATATATTTTACATTTCTCAGGACACTAGAAGTAGAATAAGATATCTTTATTATATAAAAATAGATTCACAAATAATGCAAATCAAATTTTAAATTTATGATATAATTTGATTAAATATTTCTAATAAATGCTAAATAAAGTTATTTATATATATTTTTCAAAAATGGACACTAGAATATGGAATAATAACTTTATTATATATAAAAATAGATTTACAAAAAAAAACAAATCAATTATCAAATTTATGTTATAATTTTATTAAATAAATCTAATGAGGTTGATTTGCAGGTAACTATGTTGAATTTGTAGGTGATAATTCAACTGTGGTATTTGGATGCTCTGTTTGCTCCATTAAAGTATGATACAAACGAGATACTTCACTTTTGAAAAGATATTTATTTGAATTACTCTTAATTTCCAAACCCACTGACATCGATTGGAGATACAATCATTGCTAAATTTATAGATAAATATATATTTTAATGGCTCTCAGAAGGTACCCTTTCCTAAAGAGCCAATTCTTTCATCTAACTAGGCATTTAATTTTAAACCACTATCCATTGGTATAATTACTTTAGGACTAATAATATCAGTAGTTTTTCTATCCTTTATAGTTGGCTCCAGATATTCTGATATTTTATTTAGATGTAATTTTATTCTTATTCTTTGGATTTTTTTTCAGTGTAATAATATTTTTATATAAATAAATTGTAAATTTTCTTTCAAAATACCATTGAATAAGATTTGTAAATCGTAAATTTTTTTAAATTATATAAAAAAAATGATGCGTTATATAAATGATTTATAAAGTAACTTATAATGTAACTAGTTACTTTTCATATATAACGATAACTAGTTACATCTTAAAATATGTAACTATTAACTGTAACTAGTTATCTTTTTATGAATGTAATTAGTAACTCTTACTAGTTAAGTTTCAAAAGTAACCTTTAATATCACTAGATTAAACACACAATTTAAAAATTTATTTGTTATGTTATTATAAAAATTGCAGCTAGATTCTGAAATAATTGTAGCAAATTACCATTTGTATAACATCGATTCTTCTCCATTGATATCGAATTCCAACACAGATAAAGTAAATGCAATTAATGATAAAATTTGAAATAATATTAGGTAAATAATTAATTTTAGTTTTTTTTAAAATTTATGGTTTTATGGGAAAAACATGTTAATAAATTTTCTCTCTCGTTCAAAAAACTTTTATCGATACTATTTATGTCATTCTAACCTGAGTTTGCGTTAATAATAACTTAAAAAACACACTATGATTAAATTAAAATTATAAAGTGCTCTATATTAATAAACCAATCTAAGGTATCATTAACGGGTTCTCTGACGTATCCTTCCTTACGATTAAATCCTCCGTTTCCCTGTATCCTATTGGATTCATCGTTGGCTCTTTTCGCTAAAATATTTCCTTTCATAGCCGATAAACATAGATTACAAATATTGAAGCACTTCAACTCTACCCCAACTAGGATGACATCAAAGTATAAAATATTTAAAAGAAATTATAAATAAGAATTATAGAAAAAGAAAGATGGAGTGGGGTGGCTTTAATGCTATAGCATACAGAAAGGGCATTTATAACAATATAACATTAAAATGCTAATGACTTTCGACAATTTAGTCTCTGTTCTTGTGCTCATATAATCTTAAAACGCCTTTGAGAGCTGCTTAATTATATATAATTTTTATATTCAGGATATTTTTCTAAAAAGCCATTATTTTATATGTGACCGTCTAACTTAGTGAAAACATTTGTTATATCAAACTTAATTAATAAGGGATCTTAAGACAGGTTCTTCACGATGAGCCCAGCTGCATGGTCTCATTTATTTGAAAACCTAATTGGGTCGTTATTCACAATATAATATTAAAATAATTATACCCCCCCTCTTCCCCCCCCCCCCACTTTCAATGGCAATTGGCGAATGTTGATTTGGGTCTTAATGGACAATTAAACGAGTCAAAATATAAAGGAAATATGTATTAAATAACTCGTCATTAGCTATTAAATTGCAAAGATTTGTTGTGAATAGATTGCTATTCACAAATTGTTATTGGAAAAATAGAGAATAGCACCTTTTTATTATTGATTTTTTAAAATATCAATTGCAAAATGTTCACCAGTTGATAGCTTATTATTTAGGTAATGTAATTTAATATTTATTCACCAAACCTGGTAAGTAATAAATGAATATAAGAATTGTAAAAATAAGAGAAACGAATGCATGAAAATCTAAACTCACTGGATGTCACAGACTACTAAATTATATTTTATTGATATTTTTTATTCTCCTTTTGTACAGGTTATTTTTTTTACGTGTAAAGATAATAGTAGTATTATTACCGTTGTGTTATATGAGAAAACAATACACAATAAAGTTTCCTTTTTGTATTTGTATTATACTACACTCCACAACCGGGACTTATATATCCCCTCCCCTAAGCCGATGATGATATCCAGCTTAATCCTCATATCAAAATCAAATTAGAAAGAAATTAGAAAAAATATTTATTATTTTATAAATTTTAACAACTTATAGCGCTAACGCATCGACAGCTTTACCATCCTCCACAGGTGGTACAGACAATAATAGTTTAACTTTGAATCAATCGGAACCCATCGTTATAACGCTTATCAATATCTCGGTCGCTTTATTATTGGCTTTTAGAGTATTAAACATTTTTATTATTTTAATAAAGTACCTTATTTTTAATATATATAGTATTAGTTTATTGATTGATTTGATATATTGATACAACATCTCCAAAACAAAATCTTTAACAAAATAGAATCGACTTAAAAAATTCATAGCCAATAATAACTAATATTTAGAGTGACTATCACTACAAAGGACTTGAGTTTTCATTTATGAGAATAACCCTAATAGTAGGATTTCATCTTAAGCCTTTTATTCGTGTTTTTTTTTAAAGTTAATTAGTTTCATCATTCTATTATAGGCGGATGGTCTCCACTGCTTTACACCATAAGAGAGTTACAGGAATTGTATTGAATGGGGGTGGAGATTATATCTAAAGTGGACGCCTATTGATATATAGAACCTCAAAAATGTGTAGCTCTAAATTCTGGCTGGGCCTTAAGAATTCTTACCCGTTTTTTATACTTGCATATTTAGATAAACGTTTTTAGAGGTGGGTTTGTATTAATATTAGATGGAAATATATTTCATTCTGCTCTTGTTATATAGAAGATGAGAAAAGATTTCAGCTCCATCACAGATTTAATGGGCTTGTGGCTTTTGGGGAGAAGATTTAGGGAAAATAAAATGATATTAATGGAAAACTTTGATGATATAAACCTTGAAAAAGGGAAAGAGATATAATTTAAGGAGAGATATTCTAATTGATTGAAAGAATTTCTTATAGCCATTTTAGATTAAGGATTGATTCAAGGTTTGATCATGTGCTCGATATTTTAATGAATCAGTGTTTAAGAAATTTGGAGATATTTTACAAACATCTCATAGAACATTAGTTTAATAAGTAAACTAATGCCCCTCTGTTTAATCTTATTTCTTCAATTTCTTAAATTTAGATGTGGATTCCAAATAGTAGGGCTTTCAGTGAAATATAAAAAATTAGAGAATTAATAAGACACCTCTTTACACCTTTTGTTAATCCTTCAAAATTCTGGTATACAATTTAATCTTGATTTTACCACTTGAATAATTCCACCTTAATTAATCAAACAATCCCACCGTTTTTAACATGTTTGGATTCCTTTATATCACTTTATTGAATTTAACTTCATATCAAACATTCTATTAAGGCAACTCAAATCCTTAAAAATTGTCTCTCGATTTCATAAACAAACGAATGCCTTAAAAATATCCAAATCCTTACTTGAAAAATATCAATACAATATGGAAAACAAATTAATTTTAAATTTTTTTTTTATTGTTAGATGATTTAAATGAAATAAGAGAAAAAAAATATTAAAAAAAGAGTACATATTAACCTAGAGAAGAGTGAATGCTTAAAAAATTGGACCGTGAGATCAGGGAAATCTGCTGACGAAGGTAAAATCCTTCATTGGGGCCCCTTGAGATCTGTCTCATTTTTTCCCTATGATTTTAATGAAATTGAGGGCCTAACTTTCATGAGGGTATTGGTAACGATTGGTATGAACAAGTGTTGATGAGGCCAGCGTATTTGTTTTTTAGGATTTCTGCCTTTTTGATGACAGAAAATGAGAGGTTGGACTGCTGCAAAATTGATACAGGTATAGTCCCAAGCTAGTGGGAGACCATTAGTCCAGGGAATGTGGGATATTCCATCGGAGCGTACGTTTTCGTTTGAGAGGCCCACTTGTTCGCGGGTTGGTGGAATATTAACTTTTTTAAGGGCAGCTAGGAGAATGTTGTTGATAGATTTATTTCGAGGTTCGTCAATGGGCGAACTTGCAGTGCAAAGGATGGTAAGCTTTCGTTTCAATGGGCTGTCCACAGTCGATACAAATGGAGGGAACTACGCATTGCAGCCAAGACGGAGGGCTATGGAAATGCGTAGCTGTTCGCCTGTCATGGGAGGCCAAGATTGGAACCGGTAATGGCTAAAACCATACGTAATCTGAATATGCGTATAATGCTAAGCTATTGGTATTGTTCCAAAGGACCTTTTCGAAATGTGGTATTCAACAAAATGGGCGATCAGAGGAGCATTCCAGTCTTTTTAAATGCTGGAGGCAGGACGACAAAGAGTGGATGGGTAATTGCTGTCCCAAGAGGTGAGGGTCTGAGAAAGGTCAGGATCTAAAGGAGTGGATCCATGGATAATAGATTGAGCAGCCAGACGAGATGAGATAAAGGTTGAGAGGGAAAGTTGTATCCTAGACTTGCTGGGGAGGGTGGCCTGAAGCCAGGATGAACTGGAAAATTTTATGCTTAATATATTTTCAAGGAGGCCCTTGATGTGGGTTTCATGGAAAACAAGCAAGTCGCAGCATTTGAAGATCGGAGGGGATTTCAGGGCGTAGAGGATTTTAGGTATATTGAAATAGTTTTTTATTAAAAAAAAAGATTGATAGGCGGGGAGGTAATTAAATAATGTGTTTAATTTAGATAAATTGTTAAGAGAGTTTAAAAAGTTTCGATGGCCTTTTCATTCCCTATCGGTGATCCAAGATGTGTCATCTCGTCTCTGTTGATGACGTGGTATGTCATGTCTAAAGGAATGGATGTAGGATTTAGGAAGCAAATCACACATTTGGGGATATAATCCAATATGTGAGAGATTCTCGATGATGGGGGAGAGGGTTGACATGACTGTGGAAAGGTTGCTCGAAACAATGCCATCATTTAGATACCAGGAATTTAAGGCAAGGATAGATTTAGATTGAATTTCCTGAATTATTTTGTGGATCCCAATACAAAAAAGGGCTGGGCCTAAGGGTTGTCCTAGTTGAATTCCCTCTTGAGATTTGATTAGGTTTTTATTGTATTTTAGAAAAGTAGAGCTTGAATAACTGTGGAGAATGTATGAAAAGTATTCAGGATATTTGTTGCAAAACAAAGTAACAAAAAGTTGACGTTTTATTGTATTAAAGGCAATTGAGATCGTGTTTTAGGACCACATCATCAGGAATACTATTTGCTATAGTTATGCGAGCGAGATGAGCTGAAATTTCAGCACCTCCGGGAACACCAAACCCTAATTGAAGTGGCGACAGAAATGAGGAAAAGATTCCTTGATTCGTGAAGCAATGATCTTATCGGAAGAACGACCAACAGCGATTGGGCGAATACCTCCGTTTTTTTGAGAGCTATTAGACGGGCGCCAAAGAGGATAGGAATGATAGGTGATGGAAGGGACCACCTGGTAAGGTTCTGTAAAAGGGCTTTACATGGAATGTTGGGTTTTAAAATGTCTTGGATGAAGATAGCACGAATGCCTTCAAGGCCTCCTGAAGAGTCTTTTATAAAAGATCTAATGGCTTTAATTGTCTCGTCAATGTTATTTCAGGAGCTATATGATTGTTTTAGCTTGAATAGACAAATTCTGAATCTCATAAAGGGTGTTTTGAAATTTTTTTTTGAAATATTCTTGATTATATTATCATCGATTAGTTTTGTTTATTCCGATAATTTAGAGGGAAAAATATATACTTATGAACGTAGTCTAGAATAATTTAAACGTTATTTTTCTCACCGTAATAGAGAATTCATTAATATTTTGATTAATAATTCGTAAATAATTAAATATTAAAACAAATGAAATATAGATGCTAAGAAAATATGCCTGAAAACATTAATACAACCTTGAATTTATAATTTAACACTATTATTTACAAAAATTTACATTTTTACTGACTAAAGAACCTAGAATCTCACAAGCTTAAACTGTGTACTTCTCCAGGTCAAAGTCCCAAAATATATTCTGAACTAAAATCCGCAATATTGGAATTCGTTACTAATGCGTTCGCTTATAAAAATCGCCTCCTACGGATTTTGTCAACTCATCTATTAGCCAAATTGGTATCCATAGAGAAAGAAAATAAACTGGCACAAGATGTCTTTCGAAATTGTTTGGAAAAGTATGTGCTTTAGCACTAACTAACAGCCTTTCAGAATTCACCTTCCCATCTTTGATTGAGAAAAAGAAAAGGGTTATTTTCGGTTGAAATTTTTACATTGGTAGCCGTAAGTTATTTCACCATTTGGAGAGTCTCTCTTCTTTAGGAGGAAAAAGAAATTGGAATCAAAATCTTAATTTAAATTAAACTCAAAAATTTAAATTATTTTGTAAAATATTTCTGCTCATATGCTATTATTAATTGGTTTGTTGTTAACTTTTTCACGCTAAATAAAGTTATACTTTACTAATTATTCGGAGATATTTTAAAACTAGTTTTATAAAAAAGAAAATAAATCGAGTATTCTCTTCATTTTAAAACTTATAGACTTAATCTGCGAATAATACATAAAATCCATATTTTTCTATAGATAGAAATAAATAAATAATGAGAAGGAAAGAAGAAAGAAAAATAAAGTAGTAATGAATAAAAATGAGAGACATTTCAATAAGGTTTATATAATATATTTTTAAATTACATTTTTATAAATTTCCGCAACGCTCCCTTTAAAGGTTGAAAAATGTGACGGACCCTTTTATAAGGTCTAGTTATGCGCTAGCCCTAGGTATGGTTTACAAATACGTTGATAGATCATCTGGAGATTTCAAATCTGCTATTAATTTGCTTGTCACTCTGTCTCAAGACCTGGTTTCTAGCGAAGTCCAGGTATAAATAAAATATGAAATAAATAATTTAATCTTCACCTCTTTTAAAAAAAGTAATGAAACTTAATACAATGTTTCCTAAATATTATAAAGTTGAATTTAAAATTATATTACTAACTTTTTTGAAATATCCTAACAAAATTTTTCCCACAAGTTATGGAGCCTGACGGCTTTGTATCTCGTCTTAGATAATAACCATACCCCTCAAGGCGTTAGAGAATATACCGAGTCGCTTCTAAACCACTTTTGCGAACGATTATTGAGAGAAAATTCTAGCAGGGTTTCGATTAGGACAGCGATTTGTAAATGCATATCAGCATTGATAAATGGCGTCGGACCGGAGTTGAAAGGTAAACTCAATAACCCTCAAAAAAATATTCTCAATACACGTTGTTTATTTGTTTTATCTTTTTTCCCCAGATAATTCAACTTCCATGATAAATATAAGATCCCTCTTTTTCACGATTTCATCTATTCTACAAAGGGACCACATTCCGTCCATTAAAACTGATGCCATTCTTTGCTTGCAACAGCTATACATGTTCGTACCTACCCAGCATTTCCAAATTTCCGATATTTTAAATTACCTTATAGTTAGTTATTTTTATTTGTGATGATGCATGAAAGAGAATATAATAATTTGGCTAAAATTCTTAAAAATTAACTAAATTTTTTCACAATTAAGATAAATATTATTTTTAAATATCATATCATCCTTTTACTTTTTATTATATATATATATACACCTTAATCCACTTCCTTTAAAAAAGAAAAACGAATTGGGTGTAATATCTTTATATTAAACTTTTGCCTCTTTCCTAGATTTTGTATAAAAGTTTTAATGTCCTTTTAAAATAAATTATTTTAATTTTATAAGTAACCTTTTACCCAAATAAGAATCTTAAATTTGTAAAAGAAACGCATTAATAAAATGATAGAACACCGCTATAAATAAATTTGACGATAAACATATAATTTTCCTCGGAACACTTAAAGAATTGCTCTGCGCATACATACCCACCGTTGAGGAAAGCGTCAATTTCCTTCCTTAAACAGCTCATTCAAAAGGAGCCAGAGAACATATGCTCTATTCTAGAAGGGCAGAATATTTCCACTAGTGCTAATACTAACGATGCCAAGAGAAATCCCTTTGATTTACTGAGTAAAAAAAATATTTAAAATGAAATTTAATCGTCTAACTTAAAATTAGAAGTGTTGAATTATTTTTGTGACATTTTTCAAGTTTTTGAATTTAATACATTTTCAAATAATTGATTTGAACTTTTTTTAACTTCGCCATTTTATGAATTTACTTTGAAAGAAAACGTGCTTATAGCGCACTTCTCCAATCTTAAACCTATCATTACTCAAAAGCACTTGAAAATATTTAAATTACCCATGGAACAATTGTAACAAGGGTTATAAAGTTTTCTATTTTTTACTTAATTAAAATCGTATAATAGTCTAGCTTTAACGGTTTTAATTTGGTGATACGAACTTATTTTTGAATATTTGAAGTAAACTAACTTTTTAGAAATTGAAATTAAAATGCCACTCCAACCGACTAAAATAGAGAGGTGACTTTATTCCTTAGAGCTAGGAAATATTTATCTAAAATCGTTTATAAAAAGTTTTATAATGGTTTATAATTCTTAAGAAATGCTAACATAGATAATATAAATATTAAGAAATATAAGAATAAAACACTTTACTATAGTTATTTCCATCTACTATAGTTATTTCCATCATTTATCGAAATTAAATTATATTTCGATTCTTATATTTAAGGATGTCCTTCCCCTATTTCTATTCGACATTTTCCTTTTTGAATAATAAAATATTGTTTCACCCGTAAAACTGACTTATTTTAACCATATGGCATTCCATTTTTAAATAGTTCTATTGTATAATTAGAATAAAGTTGAGATAAAACAATAAATATTCAGGAGACGATAAATATAAATTCAATATCAAAAATGTTATATTTTTATTTTTAAAAATATTTTCATAGATTTTTTGATCCGAACTCTCAACAGGGAAAGAGAGGACGCTACAAAAATGCTAATTAAATATACTATAATCAACCTGCTCAACACTCCTGTTTTGATCGACAAGTATCTATCTCATTGGATATCTTTATTCGGGACGGTATTGACCTCCAAAATATCTAGTAAAAAAATTAAACACAGTATTTATTTATTTTTTGCAAACATATTATAATTTTTTTTATTTAATTTTTTTTATATATTAAAAGAATAGTTATTTTTACGTAATAAAAATAAAGTATGTAAAAATTATCCAGTAGGCATGCACCCTTATGAATTCAAATAGTATTCGATCGGCGTATTTCTATTCCAATTTTTTGCCGAATAAAGAAGTTCAAAGATTGCCCTTTGTTAAAAACATTTAGGACTCTCTGCTTGCTCAGAAATAAACTAACAAATGGGATAAAGTATGGTTGGAAAGAAAAAAATATTTAATATTAAGGCGGTTTCACGATTTTGGCTTAGAGGTTATTTTTGGCTTCGAATATTTTTATGCACATATTATTCCAGGCAAGGAAATTGCCAAGGAATAGGATATATTCCATCAGGGCATTCATTATCTCTAGGTTCATGTTTGTGGGCTCGTGGGTTGAGGGTATCTTCCTCTTTGTTAAGGCATGTCGGATTGTTTTTTAATATACTACCGTTCTTTTGAGAATTTATGGTACTCATTTGATGCGACAAGCATATTACAGAGACTTTGAAAAGTAGTAACTATGGGGCAAGTAGTGCAGAGTTATATAGCTATGCGTTATTGTTCCGAGGATAAACAGAGTCTCAAACTTATACCTGGTATAGCTTCAGTCATTAACCATTTTTGTTATTTGAAAATTTTTATCTTTTTTTATATATCCTTTTTTAAAATAATTCATTAATATTTATTAATCAAATTCCAGATATTTTGTTTGGTAAAATATTATCAAAATATGTAACAGTTAAATAATGATTTTTCTAAAACTAGATTAATTGTTTATAATGAAATAAAAACATTTAACGTAAGACACATCCTCCCCACTCTTCGAACTCTCTCAGTTCTCTTCCGCATCCATCAACGACGAAAACGAAGAAAATCATTTTTCCTCCTCTGCCATTACCACCACACCTATAACCAATGCCGCATTAAATCCTGTCAACGAAAATATCAAAAGTAATATCAGATTTAATTCACCTTCAGTGGAAAACGAAAATTTTTGGGAGATCAATGTGAAATTATTTTGCGCCGAGAGACTATTGGCTTTGGTTAAGCAAAGTGATGGTCACGGTAAATTCAAAAGTGAGCAAATTTCTAATTCATGTATAATATCTAGCATTTTATTAGCATGTATATTTTACATTTATCAATTTTACTGTATAGTCATAAAAATTACTTGACATATGTTTACAAGCAAATTAGTTTTATTTAAACAATTGTTTAAATTGACATAAAGTAAGTTTTATAAAAAAAGGAGAGGATAATAATTAGTAGGGCCGTGCTTATCCACAAATTTTTCACCACTCCTATATTACTACAAACTCGATCCGATAACCGATTCGATATTTCTATTGATTTTTATTTACCACCTATCCTTGAACAAAGTCATAAAAGAATTAATTTTCTATTCAAAACAAAACCAATTAATTTTCACGAATGATTAAGTGTGTTTATTTTCCAAAAATTAATAGTTACATTTAAAATATGGGCAATATTTATTGTTAAACTTCTCCATTTACCCGATTTTTAAAAGCAACTAAATCAAGATTTTAGCCTAAATATTATTATTTATGCCTCGAAATTTGGCCAATAAATGTCCAAACCTTTCTACCAGCTGCGGGCAAAATCTCGAGGCTTAGATAATTGGATAAAATTTTAATTTAGCCTTTTCTTAAATCGGGCTAACCGTTTAACAACAATATATAAACCGCTAGATATCATTTTCTTGTTGCAGATAATGTAACATCATATTTTTCTTTTGAAATATTTTTATTTCTTATAAACATTACAAATTATTTCATTTTTTTCCCCTTTTGCTATTAAATTATTAATATATAAAAAATAATCATATAATTAATTATATATACAATAATAAAATAACCAAAAACAATTAAAATATCGGATCGGATTTTTTGAAAATATTGGCTCAATCCTATATTTTTAAAAACACAAAAATATTGGTCCCTATCGGATCCGATATTTAATATCGGCAAAGCCCTGTTAATTAGTTTCCAATGCTCGATCTTGATAACAATAATTGCTTATTAAATCGACAACACCTTGCTATAAACATATAATACAAATTGTTTCTTTCAAATTTTTAGCCACTTAATAAAAAATTTATGATTTATATCTAAAATCATATGTGATCATATGAATTATGCATAATGAATATAAAGGAAAGGTTAAATAGGACGGTTATATAATATAATTCCATCCACTCTTCCCCATTCCGCAAAGTTATTCACATTTTGAAACTATTAATCTATTTATCTCTTTGTTAAATATATTTTAAAGTTATTATTTTATCACTTTATAAGCAAACGAATAGTATATATAATTACTCTTTGCCTAAGTTTTTTTTGTTCTCTTGTTTAATTATCATAATCATAATAATTATCACTGACTTCAGGAGGAGGAGGTGAGGGGTAAGGTTGCTAAACAATCCTTAATTAAATGTGTGCAACATTATATTAAAAATGAGATAGCATGCTTTTTTTAAAAAATTTAGCAGCTAAATTTGTTTTAAAAAGTTTTGAGAAGCCCTAAATAGTCAGAGCCAGTGACGCTATTGAAGTATTGTGCTTAAAACAATTACGGAACTGTTGTAACACATTTATGAAGAGGAATTACCACAACTGCTATTTTTTAAAAGATATTTTAACAAAATAATTAATATATTCTTTTATTTATTAAGAAAATAACTTAACATTATCAGGAAATAGGAGAAACGAAGAAGGAGATCCTGATCTTGATTTGGCCCTTGCCAGGAAATTAGTCAAGAAAGAACCTAAAAATGGTGAAATTTTAGTTATTATTCATTTTATTTTTTACCTTGACAAATTCCTACTTAAATGATAAATAATAATTATATGAATTTAACATTTTGAAGGATAACTCAAATTAAACAGAATCCTCTCATTTTTATAGAGATTATTTATAAGGTACCAAACGAGATAGAATAAAATTTAATACATATGATGAGGGAGGGGAAAATGTATACATTTAAAAAAAAATTACCTCAAAGAAGCAAGCAATAAATTAATGACTTTTATCATATAGTATTTCCCATTAATAAGATCCCCCTTCTCAATAAATAATTAAAATAAACTCAGTATTTTAATCGATACCCCTGAATTGAATTCATGGAGATAAATTATATAAAAAAAATTGATATATAAATAAGTAAGAAAATTTTGTAAGGGAAAATGTTTAAAAAAAATTTTACCATTTATTTTTTTGTTAATAAATTGAAGGACTCCATATCAAATATAATTCACATGAAAATATATTAATTTATGTATTTTATTTGTGGAAAATAAAAAAATACACTCCAGATAATTACTTAGTCCTTCATTTGTCGGAATTAGTTAGACTTTCTTTCGTATGTGTTACCAATACTGAACGTTATGCTCCGATTACTGTCGCAGGTATATATATTTTTAAATTATAAAATACATTTCTAATAAAATAGCGCAATTTTATTTGAATACGTGTTATTTAATATTATTAAATTCCATTAAAAATAATTTTGATTTATAAATAATAGATTAAAAAAATAGAAAAATAAATGAATGAAATAAAAGAAGGGCAGATTTCACACACAGTGACCATTTTTATCAAATTACTATCTGCATGAGACAACCGATTCCAAAATTTATTTTGTTCAAATACAATATTTTTGGTTGAGCTGAGCACGCTATTGCGCCTATCTTTTCTAGCGACGCATCGCATTTAAGATAATTTTAAATTAATAATTAAAGATTTTTTAAATTTTAACAGGCCTCGAAATTTTAGCTATCCTTATAAACGTTTTCCAATACAGTCCAGATCCCGATTACGTTTCCGATAATTTGAAAATTTTGAATACAATAAATATTGACAAAATTGGTGATTACTACGAAGAATCTCATAAAAATGGCGGTAAAAATGATCCCAACTATTTAAATAATACTAGTGATGGTAGCAATACTCACTACTTGCTGGAACAGTATCAAGCTCAAATGAGTGCGTGTCTAAGACAAGTTTTTAATTCTACGCAGCAAGATACGACCCATGTAGGAAATGGTGCAAATAATAATAATGTTTTTTCTAATCGCCACGATAAATTAGCAATCAAAGGAGGTGATGATGATGATTTGGAGAGCAAAGGTATCAAGTCTTCTTCACCTATCATTAACGATTGCACAAATCTCGAAAGGGATTCTAGGGTATTGGCTAAAGCTAGCCAGGTTAAATTCATATTTTAATTATATTTAGATTGCCATTACGATATCTCGTTTTAAATATTAAAGTTATAGAAATATAATATGCCTTTTTGGGATAAAAGGTGTATATATTCAGAATATGATATTTTACAATTGTTGAAATGAAATGAGGTATTACAATTAGTAAACGATTATACGGGCTCCCTGGAAACTCAAAAGGTTTCGTCTCACTCCGGCCTAAATAAATTGTATAGTTTTTTTTAAAAAAAAGAGAATCCTTGTCATATTTAGTTGTATCTTATCTTTGCCTAAGATTTTAAAGAGTTTATGCCCAGTTAGAATAAATAATAACTTAAAAGATCTCATGATATTTTCTCATTTTTTGACTTTTCACAGCTTATATGGCGGGATTTATATTTTGGATAAAGGAAATTTAGGAAATAAAAATGAAATTCAAAAAATAAATATTTTCATTTGAACAAAGGAAAAGCGCATCCCTTTACATTGGTTTGAAATAATTATAAATGACTATTTTTGGTAAAAATTGTGATTTGTTGATTTAATTATTATTATATTTTATATCAAGTTTTATAAATAGCCAAAATTCATTTATTACATTATGATAGATAATGATATCACATCATTCTACATACATCAATATGCCAAACGCGCAAATTTCATCACAAGCATTAAAACCCATTTTTAATTAGTAATGTATGGGTACTTAGTCCAAATTATGTTCTGGCTACAAACCCCTTAGCACGAAATATCTAGGTTAACTTAAGAATAAAAAAATTGGATTTTAACACAAGTCGAAGCTTATTTCTCAATCAGGTCTCTAGTCTGAGCCACACACGCTACTCGAAAACAACGAATTTATATAAATGATTTATGACCTTATGTAATATTTTATAAAAGCACATAAATAATCAATAATGATCGACGCTATACACCATAATCCAATTACCATATTATTAATTTTTTAAAATAACACAGATTAAAATAATAATGATATAATTACGAAATGAAATATATATCTGTCACTCTCTATATATAAAAAAACGAATATATTTGAATATGTATTCTTAAGTTTAATAATAGACATAAAATTTATTACAAAAAAAGAAAGGCTCGATAATTTTACATCTTTTCTGGGAAATTTATTAAAAAACCATTGTTTAATTAGCAATATTGAACTAACTAAAAAGTACTTGATCATATACTACCACAACGCCGTGCTTGGAGGGGGTCCATTGGGCCGCATGGGTACTGCCATAATTTGCATCAATCAAGGCAATATTTTCTTGATTTGTGTTGCGATTTATACAAAAAGGAATAATTATACTATATGATATTTTTTTATAGAAGCATAAACATAATAACACATTATCGGTCTTAGTCAAGGTCATTTTGAATTGACAACCCTCCCCCCCCCCCTACCCTTCATTTTAAATGGTCCTCCTCCACCTGTGGATAGTAGGGGAAACTCATTTTCTATATTAACATTTTAATTTAAAAAAATGAAATTTAGGTTTGCAGTTTGTGGGTGTCTGCCGGAATACGGTACCATAACGAAGACATCAAAAAAATCAGGACACTTTTGCTTGATTCATTTTATATGCTTAAAAGTTCCTTGATCGGTCGGGAAGATTGTTACGCCGTCATTGAGAAGCTGGCCATTATACAAGCATGGGCCGAGGTTTTTATTATCATATAATATAGTATAGATATGGAATGTATAGAGAAGAAGAAAAAAGAAAGAAAAATTAAGAAAAAACATTATCATATATACATACGCCTAGTGTTGTTAAAAAGTCGAGTTCACCCGACTCTGACTCAGAGTCCTGAGTCGTTAGTCGAATTAGTCGACTCACTGAAGTCGTGAACTCGAGTCGAGAACTCAAGTCTACTCGAGTCGTGAACTACCAAGTTGTGAACTCAAGTCGACTTAAGTCGTAAACTCAAGTTGTGAACTCAAGTCGACTCAGTCGTGAACTCAAGTCATGAACTCAAGTCGACTCGAATCGTCAACTCCAGTCAACTCGAGTCATGAACTCAAGTCGACTTGAGTCTAGAACATGAGTTTTCCACTTGAGTCGTGAACCTAAGTCGACTAGAGGACGAATATTTCGAATAGGTATTGTATAATATTATTTTTGTTACAATTAATTTGTGGTTTTCATGCAAAAATTTCAAGCAAAATTTGAATTGATAATAATTTAAAATCTTCTTTTTTAATTAATTTTTTTGTGAATTATTAATCTTTTAGTTGAAATCTTTTATGGGCTTATTTTTATCATTTTTGTAAAATTATCTATTTTTTTTAGTATATTAAAAGAACTAGTTTAAATAATTTATATTAAATTTTTATGTTATTTTACATGATCGTCTTATAATATTTTAATGTGACAATTGTCATGATATTTTTTAACATTTTTGAAATTTTTGGTAGAAAAGGGTAAAAATATATTTTATATTATAAATATGTTAAATTATAAATTCAATGATGATGTTCCTTTGTAAAAATGACAAATATCATAATCTGTATTTTAAAACATATGAGTTTATTTTTGACGATAATGGTTAAAAACATAAATTATAAATATGTTAAATTAAAATTTCAGTGAAGATTTCCCCTAGATAAGTGACAAATATCATAATCGTTATTTTTTAAGTTTTTTGAATTTTTTTAAAGCAAATGGGTGAAAATATATATTGTAAACATGTTAAATTAAAATTTGTGAAGATGTACCATAGAAAGTGACCATTGTCATAATCGTTATTTTTGAACTTTTTTGAATTTTTTAAAGTAAATAGGTAAAAATATATATTGTAAATATGTTAAATTAAAATTTCAGTGAAAATGTACCATAGAAAGTGACAATTGTCATAATCGTTATTTTTGAACTTTTTGAATTTTTTAAAGTAAATCAGTAAAAATATATATTGTAAACATGTTAAATTAAAATTTGTGAAGATGTACCATAGAAAGTGACAATTGTCATAATCGTTATTTTTGAACTTTTTTGAATTTTTTTAAAGTAAATAGGTAAAAATATATATTGTAAATATGTTAAATTAAAATTTCAGTGAAGATGTACCATAGAAAGTGACAATTGCCATAATCGTTATTTTTGAACTTTTTTGAATTTTTTAAAAGAAAACTGGTAAATATATATATTGTAAACATGTTATATTAAAATTTTAGTGAAGATACTACAGAAAAGTGACAATTGTTATAATCGTTATTCTTGAACTTTTTTGTTAAAACGAGGTGACTTTTAGCCTACGCCCGTTTATCTTATTAGGCGAGGAGGAGAGCACACTTTTTAATTACATAACCATTTAAATTTGAAAGTAAGGAGATTGATTTGTAAATCTACACGTATAAATAAATTTCTTGATTTGAAAACTATTTAAATAAAAAAAAAGATTAAGTTTTGTTAATTGGTTAGTTGTGTAACCCCCAGACCCGTGATTTGGGTCTAAAAATTGACTAAACCAGCTCTGATCACGAGCCTCTAGAAAAGACACGGGGTTCACACACTTAATCGCCACGCCTAAAAAATGCGAACATGTATTTTCATTAAAAAATATTACAAAACGATACTGAATTTGTTATTATTTATATAAAGTATATAAGAATAAATTGGGGGGGGGGGGATTAAACCTTTTTTCGCAAAATCGATTTTCATAATTCTTCCTCAAAAAAATTTTTTCTCGTAATTGATCAGACATACCATGTTTTCTTTAAAAGTCAAAACAAATCTTTTCCTCTTTTAATAATTTTTTTCAAAAAGGCAAAAACATAGCCATTCATGGCACATTTCCCCTATAATGTCAATATTATTTTTAATTTCATATAATAAAATATCGAATCCCGGAAAAAAACCCCCGAAAAAACCTCGGAATAAAAACCTCCTGTTAGGACCTAATAATATCGGTATATTTTTATTTGGATTTAATAAAGTATAGGCAAATTAATATTTTAGAAAAAATTATTATAGAAATATAATTTAATAATAAATTTTTTTAGGCCCCAATTCATTACTTAAAGATTACTCATATACCCTCCATAAAAAATGCTGATGTTCAAATTGGTACTGAGACAAATAAATACCCCAGTAAAATAACCCATGTATTACTAATTTTCGTAAAAATTATTTGCTATAGTAATAAATACAATATCCATCCTTAATTACTATATTAAGTAGACTAAATTTGACAAAATTTGCAATAAGATGTTTATTTTATTGAAAAATCATTATGTATATTCAAATTTAATAATTTAGAATAATAATTATAGCGGCCGACATCAAATAAAGGCGAAAATCGCCCTCATAAAATCTAATCTGGAAGGCCTTGCACCCTAACACGGTATTCCTCGCAAAGTTTCTTTAACCGAATCTGGGTATTATAACTCTACGATTTTGTTTTGGTGTCCAACTACCTACACGCCATCGTTCAAGTTTGGTTTCATCGGCAGCAACCTCGCATTTCATTTTATTAATCAATACCCAAATTGATGGGCGTTTATTCCCAACCAGATATGAAAAATGATGATCCCAACCTTCGCATTGATTATTTGTGGGTTCTTCATCAGATAGGGTGCTCTCATTCACCTTCCAAGTTTCTGGAGGAAATCGAGGCCCAATTTGACGTGTCTCGGATTGAGAATTGCTTCTTGTGACCTCCCTTGACTCCATTGATGTAATTTTTATCGAAATATTTAAGAATATCTTTATCATTGGTAGGAGTAACTGATCTCAGGAATGCCATTGCATTGCCCATATCATATAAAGGAACAAATGCTAAGCCGTCCCTCATGTCACAAAAGAAGCTTAGGGTTTCATCGGTTCTGTATTGGCTTTCCAGACCTAGCTTTTGTAGTTTTCTATGGGTACTTTGACACAAATGGTAAATCATCCTCTGATTATAATATGATCCCCTAATTGAAAAAACAAATATAAATAATTTAACATATTAATGATCATACCAATGACAGTTTTAACCTCGCTCATAGCAAATTTTTCGAAATCCATGTATATATATAATGGATCAGGAAATAAATCCCTTTCTTGACATTTAGAGAATATTATTTCGAATATTTTTTGTAAGATTTTGTGTTTTTTTTTGGAAGGGGGGGGGGTACTGATATATAATTGCAGAAAATTTTTTGGGGACATAAAATTTCCACCCATATTAATATAACATGCCATGAGCACTCACTTATAAATTTATTTATCAAAATTAATTATTGCTAGGTTATACTAAAAATAATTAAATGAAAATTAAGAAAAGATCCGAAAAATAAAAATAGAAAATAAATGACCAATCCCTCCCCCGTCTCTCTCTCCCATTGTTATTTAAAATTTGTAACACAGTAAGTTTTTTTTAAATTTTTTTAAAAAAAAAATTCTTATTTTAATAAATGGTTCAGCTTACTAAAAATTTCATAATTTAGTAAGCATAAAAAAATATTCGATTTAAATTATGATCAAAATATTTATTATAATATAAATTTTTTTTTTATTATTTACTCATATTATTTGTTATTATCATGCATCCAAATTTTTGTGTTCAAAAGCGTTCCTATTTTTTTAAAATACCATTTAAAAAAATTTAAAATAACAATATTTATTTATTTTTTAAATGTTTTTTTTAAATATGTATTACATGATTTTTAAATAAAAGAATTAAGATAATATATTTTTACGTTGATAAATCTCATTTTGAACCTTTGCGCAAATAAACAAGAATATCTTTTAGTTCAATCTCCACTAAAAGTTCTCATACAACTAACATTAAAAACGATCCTAATTTTTCTTCGTCTATATTATTTCTCAGCCTATTTTTTATAATTTATTAAATGTTCTCTCGCAATTAACTTGAGTAAATGATAAAGAAATGTATGCATATGTGAAAAATAAATTAGTGTATGCACTTGTGTGCATATTGTATCTTAAGAATTTCATATAGGCATATTAATCAATTGTTACATTTATTATCACAATTCACATTCTGAGTTATTATCATTCTAATTTTTCATTAGACTCCTCACCTGCGCATACGATATCATCGTCCGTTTCAAATAATTCTGCTATTAAATCTTTGAATTCACAGGCAAATGAACACAATTCGTTACGTTATTTAACATTCAATATATTTGTTGTGTCACTTTTTCCAAGGCCTTTTCAGAAATACCTTTACTATTATTTTTATCAAAATGTCTAGGATAATATTGCACATTCAAAATAAACTCTCTTTTTGCACCGTTCTGATGTTTATAATTTGATCAATTATAGGACGAAATACTTCGACCCTATAATTTCAAATCCAATAAGTTTTTTTTTATCTCATTAATTTTTCCGACGATAAAATCCACAACAGTTATCGATAATCTGGTATTTAAAAAAAGTTATGAAGAATATATTTTTTAATGTTTACCTAATAAATTCTAAATAACAAATAAAAGTTGTTTATTAGCCTGCCCATTGTTAAAATTTTTCAAAGGTCCGTTAGCACTTTTTAAATTATTTAGCTAGCCAGCCCAATTTGATAGTAGGGCGTGGGCTAAAAACCAGATCATTTGGGCAAAAAAATTCAAAAAAATTTTAAATAACGATTAACTGAAATTTTAATTTAACATGTTTACAATATATATATTTATAAGTTTGCTTTAAAAATTTTCAAAAAGGTTCACAAATAATGATTATGACAATTGACACTTTTTTATGGTCATCTTCACTGAAATTTTAATATAACATGTTTATAATATATATTTTTACTTATTTTCTTTGAAAAAATTCAAAATCCGAATAACGATTATAACAATTCTCACTTTTTTATGGTACATCTTCACTGAAATTTTAATTTAACATGTTTACAATATATATTTTTACCGATTTACTTTGAAAAAATTCAAAAAAGTTCAAAAATAACGATTATGACAATTGTCACTTTCTATGGTACATCTTCACTGAAATTTTAATTTAACATGTTTACAATATATATTTTTACCGATTTACTTTGAAAAAATTCAAAAAAGTTCAAAAATAACGATTATGACAATTGTCACTTTCTATGATACATCTTCGCTGAAATTTTAATTTAACATGTTTACAATATATATTTTTACCCATTTGCTACAAAAAAGTTAAAAAATAACGTTTATGACAATTGTCACTAGAGATTTGCAAAGTTAGGCCCGGCCCGAGTCCGGTCCGGCCAGAACGGGCTTCGGGCCGGGCTCGGGCCTAATTCTATTTAAAATAATCGGGTTCGGGCCGGGCCTAATATTTAAAAAAAAATTCGGGCCGGGTCGGGTCGGACCTTGGATATTTTTTTAAATATATCTAAATTTATCAATTTTATATTGAATTTTTTATGTAAAATGAAAATATTTGATTATATTTATTGAAACTAAACTACATATAACATATGTCTTTTATTTTGATTAATTATAAAAATTAATTTCTATATTTAAATAAATTCGAATCGGGCTGGGTCGGTAAATTTTTTTAAAAAATATTTCGGGTTCGGGCCGGGCCGGCAAAACTTTTTAAAAAAATTTCGAGTTCGGGCCGGGCCGGGCCGGTAAAACTTTTCTAAAAAAAATTTCGGGCCGGGACGGGCTTGAAAAATTAGGCCCGATGCAGATCACATATTGTCACTCTTCTATGGTACATCTTCACTGAATTTATTTTAACATCTTTACAATATATATTTTTACCTATTTACTTTAAAAAAATTCAAAAAAGTTAAAAAATAACGATTATGATAATTGTCACATATCTATTGCGTCAAAAAATTTCAATAAAAACTTTAGAAATAACGATTATGACAATTGTCACTTATCTATGATACATCTTCATCGAATTTTTAATTAAACGTATTTACAATCTATATTTTTACCTATGTGCATCAAAAAAATTTCAAAAAACTGTAGAAATAACGATTTTGACAATTGTCACTTATCTATCACTGATATTTTAATTTAATATATTTACAATATATATTTTTACCTATTTGCGTCAAAAAAACAAAAAAAACTTTAGTAATAACGATTATGACAATTGTCACTTATCTATAGGGTACATCTTCACTGAAATTTTAATTTAACATATTTACACTATATATTTTTACCTATTTCCGTCAAAAAACTTTAAAAATAACGATTATGACAATTGTCACATATCTATGGTACAACTTCACTGAATTTTTACTTAAACGTATTTACAATCTATATTTTTACTTATATGCCTCAAAAAACTTTAGAAATAACGATTATGACAATTGTCACTTATCTAGGGTACATCTTGACTGAAATTTTAATTTAACATATTTACAATTTATGTTTTTACCCATTAGCGTCAAAAATAAACTAATATGTTTAAAAATACAGATTATTTGTCATTTTTAGAAAGGAACATCACCTTTGAATTTTTAATTAAACATATTTATAATATAAATTATATTTTTATCCTTTTCTGTAAAAGATTTGATAAATGTTAAAAAATAACATGACAATTATCACAAAGATGATCATGTAAAATAACTTATAAAAGTTTAATATAAATATTTAAAAATAAATTATTTCTAGTTCTTATATACTAAAAAAATAGATAATTTTACAAAATTGATAAAAATAAACCTATAAATAAAAGATTTCAACTAAAAAATTGTTTATTTAAATAAAATTTACAAAAGAATTAATAAAAAAAAAATCATTTAAAATTCAAATCAAATCAAATTTTGCTTAAAATTTGGGATCACTAATTAATTGTAACAAAAATGATATTACTTAACTACATTGCAGCTTATCATTTTTTTATTAAAAGATATCAAATAAATATTCATTTTCATAATATATTATAAAATAAAAAATATTAAATCATATCATTTCTTTAAAATATAATAAATATTTAAATAAAAATAAAATAAATTATTTTACTAAAAATAAATAAATAATAATTAATGCTTGTAATTTCTATTCACGACTTACTCAAGTTGGAAGTCTAAATTAAAAAAAATAATTGTATTGTAAATTAATAATATAAACTAATTTGAAATCACGACTTATGTCGACTTGAGTTCACGACTCGAGTTCATAACTCAAGTCAGTTTTTACTAAGTCGACTCGACTCAGTCGTTTAACAAATACGCCATTACTATTTTAACCTAATTTATTTTTATTAATTTAGTTAGCATATTATTTATATATAAAAGATAATAAGGTATTCGAGATATAAGATTGATATGATTAGGTGAGATATATTGTACACCTATTAAAATGCGAATTGAATTGCTTTATTCATATTCGATTCGTAATTTCTATCGAATAATTGCATTATTCGTATCAAATAGTAAAAACATTATTCGATTTGATTCGTCTAATATTCGATTCGAAAATTAAATACTTTAAAAATATTTTCAAAAATGAAAAAATGGAATATAAAATATAAAAAAGTGATTATAGATGTGGAAAAAATTAATAAAATATTTAATGACAAGTTAATGCAAGGAACATGAAATGATTAATAATAATTTTAATATTTATAAATAATTTTGATATTTACAAACAATTCTGAATTATTTCTAATATTTACAAATTATTTTGGTTAATATATGAATAATTAAAATTATTCAAATAATTCTAATAAATAATAGATAAAAATTTATTTGACAGTTAAGGTATTTTTCATATTCATATTTGATTCTAATTTTATAATTTTATTATTCGTATTCCTAAAATACAAATAACGATAATTTATTTTAAGCAAGGAGTCACAAACATTAATAATATAATGAGCTTTTAAATTTAATGGAATTTTAACCAAACTTGAATCGTATACATGTAATGTATATTTTTCAACATTAAAAAAACATATATGAATCCAAGATATTCATAGTTGAAAATGAAAAACATGATTTCCGATCCCGCGAAAGCTTTATTCAAAATTGGAAAAATGATAATAACCATCAAACCTGTGGAGAAATTATTAATTTAACGTGCATTTCTCACCAAGATTTGGATTACCTCAAATTATATTGGACTATGGCCCTCAAGGATTACACTCTACTAAATCTATCGAAAGGTTATTTGTTAAATTCACTAAATTTGATAAGCAGGAGAAATTTTTTTGACGAATCTTACATTGTTAAAGGCCACATATCCTTCTTCTACTATTTTATCAGATAAATATTTAGTAAGTCTTTAGATTGATAAGCCGAATTTTTAAATCATTTAAAAAAGATTACGATCTAATTTAATCATTTAGTAAGTTAAACTAACCCTAGCCAAATCATATCGATTAACCCTTCTTGCCCAAATCTGGCTTTAGTCCATATTAATTTAGGTAAAATCAGGAACCCAGAAAAATATGTTCCCTTTCAAATCCCAAACACTTTTTGGCTTGTGCTCAACGATAACGGCTGCAAAAATTTTGGTTTATATAAGAAATCGTTAATTTTTAATAGCTGGATTTCTTCTGTTAATTGATGTCTTCCTTCCAGTATTTAAGGTCTCAGGTTCGAATCCATGTCAGTTCATTTTTTTTCTCTTTTCTATAATGAATATGATATCATTAGACGAAGTTCCCCCAATAATTAAACTGATAACCCAGTGCAGGGGAGCAGCGCTAATCAGCCATAGGTAATAAGTGTGTGTTTGATTTCAGAGGGATGGCTTCGCTGTTAATATCGAATTAATTTGAGTAAATTTAAGATGGGTCTGACCTTCCTGATCCCACCAACACATGGAATATAGCTAGATTATATTTAGAAACGGGGGGGGGCATTATTAGTATATTTCCTGTTCTTTTACTTTTGCCATTTAACAAACTAATTTGGCACACACTTCTATTATATAGACTTTCAAAAAAGAATAAATTTTGCTGACAAGCCCTGTCATTTTTACACGCGAGAACTGTGCAATACCAGCTCACTTTACTATCAAAACGCATGGCCTACGTTAATCAAATCTATGGCTTATTACATTAAGGTCTTCTTGACGCAAGATTTAATGACCAATGACCAAGTTCAAACTATTTCATCTAAAGATGCGAATAGCGATTCTCATGTCGTGTCAAAGGACAGTGCAAATGAGAGCCATGAGCATGATTGTAATGATAGTGACAGGAAAGAATTGTTGCATTTAATTTTGGGTAAAAGGAAATTTTTATTAATTTTTTACCATTCTTAATTGTCTTGTCAATTTCAAAAAGGAAATATAACTTTCTTACAAAGCACTTAAAATTTGTTAAGAATAATGTAATTAGGCCTAATTAACTTTAATAAAGATTTATGTTGGGTAAATAATCATTGTTATAAACAATATAATTACACTAAACAGAAAAACACAATGAGTATTATAGACTTTTATATAAAAGGAATATCCTTGGAAGCGCTTTGCAATTCCTGTTTAGATCTTTCTATCCACGATATAATAATGTGCTTGGATACACTCATCATCTTATTCGGATCCCAACAAATTATACGTTATATTTTGACTACGGAGCCTGACATTGTAAATGAGACCATACAGATTTTGCACAAGTAAAAAATAATTTTAGAATCGATATTATTCTTTTATAGCATAATAATCGTTTGAAATAGAAAATATTTTATCATTAACTGAAAATTTAATTGTTTTAATTAGCTTTATGCGAAAAATTAAAAATAATATCTTATTTTTAATTTGCATATTGAACCAAATTTCAAAGGGGCTGTTTATATTATAACTAGCCACCAACGTAATTATAGGTAAAAGTTATTATTTGTAAATGATTTCGATACGTAGTAGGGAAGACCGGGGCTTGTCTAATCGATTTTTGAAAAATCGGCTATAATTTCATTATTTTTATAGATATTGGGAAGAGCAATATATGAATCCATACCTATAGTTAATATAAGTGCCCTATAAAACATTCTTTTAATTAGTCACATTTTTTAAATTTCATTTTTCTGTAAAGATGGAAATTTTGCCAAGCCCAATAGCGGGAATTAAGCATTCCATGTAGCTTCCTTAACCATAGTTTACTTATTATAATGAATCGAAATTGTATTCTTATTTAAAAATTAGATTGCAAATCTTATATTGCTGATAATATTCAGCAGATTAGAATAATCTTTAAACCCCTTCCAAAAATTTAAATATTTGTATAGTTTTTTAATTGTTCAAAATATCATGATTACAATTTAATTGAGGCTAATTATTTATAAATTATGTGTGAAACATAATTTTATGCAATATTATAAAGTAATAATTTTTAATATATATACTCGTTCTGTTCATCTCCCCAGAAAAATATTAAAATTCACGCTCCCACTTTCCCATTGTTCTAAAAATAATTTGAAACCGCCCACCTATCCATGCTAAAATTTTTGACCCGTCTGCCCACACCCTCCCGAAGTATGGGCGGGCATTCTAAAAGTCTGTTCATTGTAGACATCTAGTATTGACAACTAAAATATTGCCAAATGAAATATTAATTTTATTATATTAATTTAATATACAAAAATAATATTTTAGCTATTTTACCATTTATATTTTTATACATATCTATTATTTAATATTACTAAAATTTGGTTAGTTTAATAATTATATATAACTATTGTGATTATATTTACATGTTAGTTGGCTAGAGATTCTCTTTGATTTAGGGTCTTCATATATTTTTAAAGCCTAATTAAATTTTAATATAAATTTATTTAATTAATTTTTAACACAAATGGAAATATATATAGATAATCACTAATATAAAATTATGATTTATTGGTAATTTAGGGCTGTGCCAATATTAAATATCGGATCAAATGGGCACCGATATGTAGCGTTTGAAAAAATATCGGATCGGGCCGATATTGTTTAATAACCATCCCGATCCGATATTTGTTTATTATTTTTTGATTGTATGTATAATCATATCATTTTTTTTATTTTAAAAATAATTTCATGAAAATAAATTAATGATAGGAACAAATACAATTTATTCGTTGTTGTAATGTTTAAAAGGTAGTTAAGTTGTACACTATTTTTTGCTATATTATTACAAGAAAAGAAAATCAAAATATCTAACGAGTCACAGCTAGTTTTGTCGGCTCGATTTAGCCGAACGTTTAAATCGAGATTTTGGCCAAAAGTTACTCAAGCTTATTGATTTTGTTCTCATATGGCAGAAAGGTTTGGACATCTATTGGCCGAATTCCGAGTCATAAGTTAATAATAAGAATTTTTAAAAATCGGCTAAATGGTGCTGCTTATCACACTACATTCACTCATAAACATTTCAGATATTTAAAATTTTTATTAACTTTTGGAGAATAAAGAAAATATAATACACTTAATCATTCATGTAAGTTAGTTGGTTTTTTCAAAAATATAAAATATTGATATCTTTATGACATTGATACAAAGATAATGGCAAATAAAAATCAATATAAATATCGGAGCGGAATCGGATCGGTTTTTAGTAATATCTGATCGGATATCGGATCGGTGAAAATATTTGAATTAACTCCAGTATTTTTCTTAGATTTGTCTTTCGCACCATATCGAATAATATAATAGGGGCAAAAAAATCATTTAAGTGGATTAACATTTATGATTTAGCACGCCCACTATCTCTAAATTTACTAAAGCATGATTAAAATAATATCTAGTTCAAGAAAGCCACAATAAGTATTCACAAAATTGTCTCACATTATAAAAGAGAGTTGAAATTTTGCATAAAACTGATTTTTTATATAAATTAATATATGTTATTAAAAATAAAAATTCTATCATTCAACCATTTGAATTTAACACCAAAATTTTATTTATATTATAAAATTTTTGATAATGAATTATTTCATAATATAGTCTATAGATTTATAACAATAATAAAAGCTATACAAGGCAAAATTTAAACATCCTTGTTTATTTAATTTTAAAATGAGGTTCTATGGTTTGACACCCCCCCCCCCACCCTCAGAGTTTACCAAGCCCAGGTCTCCCTTAATCGACTTCGGGACCTTATGAAGGAGAAAAAAGTTTTATAAATTTTTTTTAATTTTTTGAGATTTTAAAATTGGATTAGAAATAAAATGTAATATACTAGTTTTTGTTTTTACGAATAAAAAATAATTAAGGCAAGAAAATTTAAAATCTGTACAACTTAAAAAAAATACATTAAGAAAGAAAAATATTATTTTGTTTAAAATAGAATTTCCATAGCACACAGCTTGGATACAGACATTTTAGCTTTAGTCGGCAGGATATTAGGTCTAATATTTCGAGAAAATTGGGAAAATAACGAATACGAAAGGCATTCCCACAATAAATCCGAAGGTACTTTAATTTTAACAGTTCAAAACCTTTATATAATTCGAACTGAAAACTAATTTTATTATCTTTTTACCATTCATGAACATACTGTTATAGGTAAATAGAACCTAGATAATTCGCCTTTATAATTTTAAAGTTTATTACAGTCTAAAATATTATTTATTAGAGCCCTGAATCTGACTTGTGAGTCAAATCCGAAGAAAATATTTTTTATCTAGGTCGAGCTGCGTGACTTTTTTTAAAGAGGTCACGTTCAAAAATTACCATTTAAAATGAGTTCCTGTACGAGAGAAAGGCAGGTTCCCCTGCCCAATTCTATTTCAAGTAGACCGTACAAGTTTATGCAGGGGTTTAATACTTATAGCATTTTAACCCAGTATAGTGTCCTTTTTAGACTCAATTCGTTAGTGTTGCTATGTTTAAACTTTTTAAGAGTTAATTAGTATCCATGACATTTGATGAGTATACAATAAACTAAGTATGAATTAAAAGGGATAAAGTATTCGAATCTTGCATGGCTGGCGGTAACCTCTTAAATAAAATTTAAGCATGGTTCGAAGCCCCAAAAATGTTATATTTGTCCTATTTTTCATTTTTGTCTGATTTGATATGATAATTATAAATTAAATTTTAAAAATAAGAAAAGTTTTATAAAAATCATGAGACGGAAAATATTTACTATTCATTTTCATATCATATTTTGTAATAAATAAAATAGAATAGCACTAGATTACTATATATCAAACCTGTTGCTGAATGTAATTTAATGCATAAATTTAAACAAGAGAATAAAATAAATATTTTGAGTTTGAAATTTCTTCCTATAAGCTTTTTTTGAAATTCGGGCCTCATCGAGCCCTTGCTGAATCCATTTTTTTTGCTGATTGTCCGCAGACATACTTGGGCAGAAAAAATTGATTTAGCAGTTCTCTATATCAAAGATACCTAAATTAGGTTAAAATGATTTGCTTTACGTATTATAACTTTATATATGTTTTTAGAAAAAAGTCACGAAAATTCGTTTATTAACGTAAACCATGTCATACGTGTATCTGGGTGTAGATTAACCATTCAACTCTTGAAAGATTCATGGAAAGATCATTCATTGATGTCTGAATGTATGGACGTTTTGGGCCTTTTGGCTTTAAGCCCTGTCACTCAAAAAGGTTGATTTATTTAATTTCTTTTTGGAAATCAAAAATTAGATAATTGATAAAGTTTTGACCGGTTTTTTATTTAATTTTCTAACTATATAAAATTTTAAATATCTCTTAATGACAAGTTACAAATTTCATTCTCAATATTCCAGGCCTCTTAAAAAAATAAATTCATAGGAAAATCATGGAGGATGAAAATATTAAAATTCTAATGACTCAAGAAACTATAACAATAAAAAGGATATCATAACTATACCAAATCCTTAGTAAAAATAATGTTAATAGCCTATTTCTTACATCAAAATAAATCTCAATTAAAAGAATGGTAAAATTAACCTCAACTGGAATAAACAAATAAAATAAATAAATAATTTAAATAAAATAATAATAATATTAAATACATATAATAAAACTCGAAATATATAAATAAATTATTCAACATCAAAAATATATAAATTCAACGTCAAAAACATATTAATTCTAAATCAAGCATAATTTTTTATTTATTCATCTAAAAATAACTTTCTTTATTATCATCAGTATTTCTGCCTCAAATTTCATTAAAGATAATTTATAATTATTATCTCTATTACATATACATAAATTCCTTTTCTTTCTTTTATCTAGAAATAATAAATAAATAGAAAAACACACATACATTTCCTCGAATTCACTCAATACTAGTGTTGTTAAATGACTCGATTTGAGTCGATTTTTAAAAACGGCTAACTCAATATTTTAGCCTGATAATATTGTCTAAGCCTCGAGATTTAGCTAATAGATGTCCAAACCTTTGTGTCATCTATGATCAAACTCTTTAGGCTTGCTTAATATTTTTCTGAATAAAACATTGAGTTAGCCATTTTTAAAAATAGACTCAAGAGCCATTTAACAACATTAATCAATCCTGCTTAGTATTAACTGCTATACAATGTACTTTCGGGTACATTGTACTCAAAACGCCCTCTAAAAGGTGGAGGAAAATTGCGGGTTTCCCCATTGTAAGATACGATTCGATAAAGTTTTGACCTTTTTGTTCTTTAATAAAGTATTAATTACAATAAAAAAAATAAAGGAAATCTCATGTCACCTTTCTTGCCCATCTGTTTAAGCCACCTGTATGCTCTTTACAAACAACCGAATATTGCAAACATCAAGTCGAATTGCCTCTCTCATATGATTAACGTTTTGTCCTCAAGCTACAAAAACCTGATTAATAAGGGGCACACAAAGTTTCCCGAAAATTCCCTCGAATATGAAAATATTCGGGAAGATTCTGAAATCTTAAATGCCGGCACTTTCGGCCAATTGAATTTCGTGTTTGAGGCTCTTTTCAAAAACGTTTTGAAGGACAGTCAGAGTTATAATCCAAAATTATAATTATAATTATGAATTAAATATTTAATTTATTTATGATAGTTTTATAATTAGGCTCTCAGCACTTTAATTTTATTGAAATTTAAGCTTCTTAGATGGAAAGGGTGTGCAAGTTAAAAGGTTTTTTGTGTGCATTATTTAGGCTTCTTGAATAATCATCCATTTGCTTATCTTTTTTAAATAGTGCATATGTTGTAGTTTACCATTTTATAAAACCAAAAAAAACAGATCCAAAATTTGGTCCCGATACGGCATTGGAATTTTTATTCGAAGCCTCTAAATTTTACTCTATCGCACTGCGTAGTAAGGAAGGAATGGAATATAACATAGATTCTCGATATTTACCCTTGACAGATTTTCAAGAAGGATCCGTCTTTAGTAAATACATGGATATATTGGGGAAATTGATGGTATAATAATTTTTTAAAGGTTTACAAAACATAAATATGGGGAAAGATGGAAAGGATGAAGAGAGGGATTATAACAAAAATATAAGAAAATGAAAGGAAAAGAAGAAAGAATATTTAAATTAGAGCCCTACATCGGGTCTATTTTTTTAGGCTCGACCCGATTGAAAATTTTTTGTTCGACCAATCAAGTCTAAGAATTTTTCATAGTTACGATTCGATCCTTAATTTATTTTAGAAATAGTCCTATCCGATCCAGATTTTCTTAAAATTAATTATTTTAAAAATACGATATTTTAACGAAATCAGAAAAATATAAGCGCTAAGTTAATAAACAATCTTTTAATTATTCTTAGGACTATAAACGTTACTACAAAAAAGAAACGCGTTACCATTACTCGTTACCTTTTTAAAAAAGGAACGCGCGTTACTGACTATTCAAAAAAGTAATAGGTTATTCGTTACTAAGAAAATAAATATTATATACAAAAAAATATTTATTTTTTTCCTACAATATATAATATAAATAAAACTGTACAAAATAAATATATAATAAGATAAGATCTTTTTATTAAAAAAATTTTCATATACAAAAATAATATATTATATATAAGATAACATCTTTTTGTAACATTTTTTTATTTTTTTTTGCAACAATTGATTTTCAAAATTTTGATCAGACAAACAAGAGCGCTTAGTGCTCAACACAGCTTTCGCCGTGCTAGACACACATTCAAATGGCGCAGAGGATGGAAGAGTTGTATTATATTTAATAAATAAAAATTTTAATTAGGGGAATTTATTAAAAATATTTAAAGAATTATCTTTATTTTGAAAAAAGTTTAATAGATCATCTTCACAAAGATCTTCATTCATTTCCTCAAAATTTTTATCAGATTATATTCTGGTATGTGTTTGATAAAGGAAATATCTGCTCTTTCTTTATCAAGCTGGAAATAAGTTCTAGCATTCTTCCTTTGTTGACTTCTAATTTTACCAAAGCAAATTCGATGTAAATAGCGTATATTCATCTTTATAGATGTGATATGAATTATATGCCTTTTATCTATGCCTTATATGATTGAATTAATAAGCAGCTTACAAAACTTGAAATTATTTATTATCGTAGGAGTGAGATATCCCAAATGTATTTTTTCTTCGCTCTCTAAAATTGAAAGACCCGTACCAATCGGTTCCACAACTTACAAAATCATATATATACATATCATATTTCTTAATTAATATTCATCCATAAACGAATCTGAAAATCTCTGTAATTCAGATTTATCACACGATTTCAAATTTTTGGTAATTCTCCTTAATAAGACTATCTATTAATTTCACGGAGTTATAAAAAGAGTTCCATTTTGTTATAACCGGTTTAATCAAATATCTTCTACGTTTTACTTAAAAATGATTGCACAGTTTGAAGATTTCCCATGTTTATTCTACAATAGCTTACGCTTAGAAAATGTAATTTTTGAAATGGTTTTAAAATGGACATCGTTACCTACCTTTTCAATGTCAACACTTACAATGAGATTTAAAGTGTGTGCTGATCAAGAATGATGCTTAGATAAGTATTCAATACTATCATTAGTATTTTGATTTAAAAATAGATCAAATAATGGCAGAGGAATTATTTAATCATCCGATTCCTCTCCTTGTTCATATACTCTATTAAATTTTTAATAAATATATAATATTTTTTTTACATGAAAGCTTTTATATAATTTCTAGCATTGTCGGTAATGCATTTGGTCACTTTATTTTGTATCTTTGTGGTAAAAATTTCTATTTTTGCCTGATAATAAAATGTGTGTTTTTGGTTTCGCCTTTTACAAGCTAAGCAGGCTGAAACCCTTTCAAGAGTATCTGGGTCTAGCCAATTTATTGAAATAACATATGTAATATATATTTTATATAACATGATAAGTTGACCAAGAGTCCACAGTTGTAAGGACAATTTTTGGGGTACACAATAAATCCACTAATTTCTTTGCCATGGTGTCATATGCTTTATTAATTTTTAATACGAGGGTAGGCCTAGACATCACATTTTTAGTTGGCTGTAATTTTTTGATAATAATAATAAATGCAATGCTTTCTATAATTGAAAATAATTCTTCAATTTCAAAATTAAAAACGAATTCATCATTAGCTGATTTTCCTATTTTTATCTTTGGATGTAGATAGATTCTACATCTCAATTAGTGTGAGTTGATTGGCTTCAATTTTTTTTAAATTACTATTCAAATGTTAATTAATCTCTTTCATTTTTGAGGAATGTACAGTCTATAAATTTTTAATTAAAATATTATTAATGCCTGAATTTTTTGTTAAAATAACTTAGCTTTTTCAATAATTGAAGATAAATCTTTTAAAAATTTAATTGCATTTTTTAATCCCTCACTCACTTAGCTTATTTTCAAGGAAAACATTAAAAATTGAAATTATGATTGCCAAAGATAATTTTTTAATTTCTTATCTTTTTCAGAATTCAGAATTATCATTTAAAAAGGAATAGGAAAAATATCTCATTTCTCTAAACCAATATTGCTTTATAGTTTTATTTCATATATTTATTTTAAAATACATATTTATTTAAACATAGTTTTTTAAAATCACTATTTTATTCTTTAAATTTATTTACAATTTGAATTTAAACAAATAGCAATACTAAAACAAGAGATAGAAGATATTGTTTAAACCCAATATAATATTCTGAACCACCAATATTGTTAATCTTGGGTTTTTAATGTTGGTTCCCAACCCTATACTATAATTTAATTGCTTATATTTTAATTTCATGATTCAGGTTTTCATAATATTATGAAAGAATACTTCTTTTAATGGTTATTTTATAATACCCATGATATAATATTCTATTATTAAAGTAATGATTTAAATAATATATTAATTCATCTTTTTATCTCCTATGCTTATTTAAATTAAAACTGCTGGACATTGAGGTTCAAATATTTGCGTTGGGGCATAATTTACATTTACAAAGTGCAGACTTTGTACCCTTAATTTTCTTTATTGGTATATAAATATGTTTCAAATTGGGGCCAGGGAAGGGTTAAATCATCTTATACTGAAGAAGTACTATGGATTCTTAAAATAAATTATAAAATAGAATAATAATTTTATTATTAACATTTACTTTGAATTTTGATTGAATATTAATTAGATTAACATTGAAAATTTAACAACGAGAATTTAAAATAAAAATGAAGGAATGATGGTTGTTATGAATTAAAAAACTGGGCTTAAATTTTTAAAAAAAATAAATAAAAGTAATTTTATAGTAAAATAAAATAAGATTTTCTTTATTTTAATATTTTATAAGGAAAAATTTAAAGTAACGAGTAATACTTTGCATTAACGTTATTAAAAAAAATGAAACGCATTACCGTTACTTGTTACCTCTAGAAGAAGGTAACGAATGGCGTTCCTTTTCTTCAAAAAGGTATCGACGTAAGTAACGACTTTACTTTTTGACTTTACTTTACAGTAATAAAAATTCTTGAATATAATTTTCATAAAAACAAAATAATTTAAAATTTTTCTAGTCCGAATTCGACTTAGTGTAGGACTTTAGCTTAAATAAAGCGATTGCAGAATACTATAATTCCAATATAGGATTAATTTATATTTTTTTACTAATAGAAAAAAATCATATTTTCATAACATTTTTAAAAAATTAAACCATTCCTACTATATCGATTATCAAAGTGCTTTCAACTGTGTAATTTCTAATAAAAATTAATTTCCCATAAAAATGTACTGTTAAAACATAAGTTGACAAATTACCATAGGTAAAAACTTTATTTTTTTGTAAATTTGTTTATATTTATCCAGTAAAATCTAAACAATAAACTAAACTTAAGAATGAAAAAAAACTGAGTAATGTATATGGAATTAAAAAGAAAAAAGAATATATATTTTTTAATTGAAAAAATAGAAAAGATTTGACTAAAATTAAAATCAAGAAATAATTGACAAAAATTTACCTTGTCTTTAGAATTGCATTTAGATATTTTTTTAAATGGCGATCAATTAGATTAAAATTCTATTTAATATATTCCTTGTAAATTATTCAGGACGAAAATGTCGGCAAACCTTCGTACAATCAATATTTGATCATTTTTAGAGGTTTGATAGTCAATTGCCCAATTCCTTTGTCTCACAATTTTGTTAGATGTATTTTACCACAAGTTTTGAAACATTTTTGGCGATTTCACGCTAATATAGCGTCTTCTACCCCCTACGGGAAAGAAGGATTAACCCAAATCGATTTATCACTAGACGTTATGCTAACATGTTTGGATCTTTCCGATAGAAATGAAAGTGAGAATTATTTTTCTACCGAGATTAATTGTATATTTATTATTTATGAAAAAAAGAGTAAATATTTAAGATATATTATTAGTCAATTTAGCATTATGCATATTATTCTTTCTATCTCCCCATTTAGACGAATAATATAAGGCAGATATTTATAGAGAATACTCACATTTTTATAAGTACTAAATTATAATTATAAACTAATTAATAATAAAAATTTTGGGCACAGTTTTTATAACCCATCTTCAATGTTAAAAAATTATTAATTATTTAATAAATATAAATAGCGAAGTTTATACATGAATAAAAATTATTATTTTAATATTTTTTATCATATTCTGATTTACTCAAATTTCTTTAGATATAAGAGATACATAAATTTAAGTTGAAAAAAATCGTAGTATTTATTCTATATCTTGGTTATGAAATATAATTGTAATTTCAAAAATATAATTTTATATTTCTCCTTAAAGTCACCATTTTTTCTTAAAATTGACACAAAAATTAATTGTAGGTAATTTTATATATTTTTAGCAGAGTTGTTTAGGTACAGGAGCGCTCCTGGAGCGCCGCTACATTTTTTCAAAAACACCTGGAGCGCTCCTTCTTTTTAAAAATGAAGAGCGGGAGCTAGCTCCTTTTAGGGCTGGAGTGGAGGAGCGCCGCTCCTTTAAATTTAATGTATAAATTAAATTATTTTTTAAATATTAATGTTTGTTATTTAAAATTCAATAAAAATGAAATTTTATTTTATTTAAATTTATCCATTAATAAATGTTGAGCCGAGTTTTATATTGGGTTTTCATCTAATAATTTTAAATATTATATATCAAGTTTTTCATTTTTATATTTGAAAATTTATTGAAAATCTTGTAAGTCATATTAATATTCATTTTATAGATATATAATAAAAATAATTTTAGATATTATGGATTTAGAGATCATAGAAGAAGAAATCGAATTTCCATTTCCATCATATAAAAAATATTTTAAATTTCTAAAAGATGTTGATCCAAATGATCAAACAAATTTAAGGGCACAATGCCTTTTGTGTTTAAGTAAAAGTATTTCATTTTCAAAAGTGAGCAGCTTTCAATTTAAAAAAGCATTTAAAAGTAAAAATTTTTCTTTTAAATACAAAATGATAACTATATATTTTTTATTTTGGAATAAATTTTAAAATGGTTATAATTATTTTTGGGCAATTCATTATAGTTGAGCCTGGGTTGTTAGATATAATGCTTTTTTAAATATATTTTAAATATATTTTAATTTTCTCATTACTTGTTCAACCTCTTTTTTATACCTGAATTAAAAAATATATTTATAAAATACAATACCCCGCTTCCCTCTAGTGCTCCTGTGGAGCGCTTATTTAGTATTGCAAAACAGGTCATAGGGGAGAAGCGTGGATGTTTGTTAGATTCTAATTTAGAAAATTTATTACTTTTAAAGGCAAATAAAAGATTATAAATATTTTGATAGATCATTTAATATAAATAATATCTGATTTTGTTTCTTGTACCTTCTAAAAAAATGAAAATCAAAGGAGCGGTTATGGAGTGGCGCTCCATTACTTGGAGCGGGAGCTAGCTCCTTTTAAAAATGTAGTAGCGGGAGCGGGAGCTAGCTCCTTTAGAGAAGGAAGGAGCAGGAGTGATAGTTAGCTACTTTTAAAAAGGAGCATTAACAACTCTTTTTAGATTAAATGCATTTTAACACTACTTGAGCACAGGATTGGGCAGTATCGCGGATATTTGTATCTAATATCTTGTATCTTTTTTAAAATTTTGGAAAGTATCTTGTATCCAGTATCTAAGATACATATTATTTAAAAGTATTTGTATCTTAACCAACTTTGTATTAAAAAAGATACAGATACTTTAAAAAAAATTTATATTGGTTAATTTAAATAGTATTAAAATTTAAAATGATATTGTTTTAAGATTTAAATGAAAAATTTAATCAAAATTTAGATATTTTAAGATAATTTTTGATATATTACGTTGGTCGTCATATAGCAATTTGCTAACAATTAGAACTACCATATTTGAATCGTTTTATATCTGTCTATTTTAAAATTATGGAAGAAGAAAATAGAATAATATGTTTTATCTTCGTCTTCAGATGATTCTTCAACCGAAAATTACAACAATAAATTTAAACTAAGCATACTTAATGGCAAATTTTTTGAAGTACTTCAAGATGATCATAATAAAGAAATTCATCGTGACTTTGGTATTGCCGAAAAAGTTATAGCAACTGTTACAGATAACGGCTCTAACTTTAAGAAAGCTTTCAAGGAGTTTGGATATTCTATGGAAGCTGTAGAGAATGACTTTGACATCAATGATGATGAATGTATAGAATTCGAAATCATTGAAAGTATTATTTAATACTTCTTTAAAATTTATTATGATATTGTAAATTTAGTAAAAAAATTTATTCAAATAAAATTATTTAGTTGTTTATTTAAGGGTCTAAAAAAGCCTCAATAACATTGCTTCAACACATTCGTTGTTTGTGCCATACGATAAGTCTAATTGCCACAACAGATGTCGAGAGAGCTATTAAGAATTCTCCTAACATTTCTAAAATTTATCATCCTGCAATAGCTAAATGTACTAAGCTATGGAATGCAAATAATAGGCCTAAAACTGCAGAACTTATCAAAGCAGTTTTAGGAAAACAATTAGTTACACCTTGTTGCACTAGATGGAATAGTTTGTATGATAGTCTTCATAGTTTATTAAAATTTAAAGGCGAACTTCCTAAATTATGTCAAAAATTAGAATTTCCTAAATTAAGAGATATTGAAATTCAATATTTAGAAGAATATTGCAATATAATGGCCCCATTGGCTATAGCGATTGACAAAATACAGAGTGAAATCAACTGCTATTATGGAGAATCAGCTCCAATTTTAAATGTCGTTAAAAAAAATTTACAAATTTAATTCAAACTAATCTACAATTTTGCAAACCATTAGCTGTTGCCATAGAAAATTATTTAAATAAAAGATTTAAAAATATATATGATTTTGATAACAATTTTAAAAGTGCATATTTGGTAACTATTTCTCATCCCTATTTTAAAAATCGTTGGATTGATGGTGAAAAAGAAAAAAAATACCTACAGGATTTTTTATTACATGAAGTTTTAATTGTTTTTAAAAATAATATTGAAAATAATACTTCAACAAAATCTACAATTGATGACAGCGTCTACATGACAGGATTTTCACTGGATGCAAACCCCCTTCAAAAACCTTTGCCTACCCCCCTAAAAAATCGCCGCCTTCGGCGGCGGTGTCTCTTTATCATTATTTTTACCTATTTATTTATTGATACTCTTTTCAAATAATTTATAAAGGATAACTTAAATTAATCTATATCTACTACCAACTATCTATATTTTGTGATTATAAATAATTTATTTTTTAGATAATAAATTCAATTAAAACCTCCATTATTTACAATGAATTAGTTATTATGGCATTATGAGCTTGCTAAAATATCTAAATCTTTTAAATTACATTTAAAAGGATAGTTTATTTGGAAAACAATGTGCATGATTGTTTGCAATATATAGATTTGGTCGATGAATTGTATTATAATAATACAATATACCATAATAAAAGTATAATTTTTACAGCAATAAATTTTGTCCTATCTCATCTCAAAATTTAATAGATAACCCCCCAAAAAATTTATCCAACCCCCAATAAAGCAGCTTACCTCCTACCCCCTCAAAAAAATAGGATGCAAACTGTTCCTACCCCTCCCGCTCATGTAGACGCTGATTGAAGAAGATGATGATTACTTTTGTCTAAAAAGTACCACATCCAATTCTTATAATTCAATAAATGATATTGAAATAGAGGCCCTAAATTATATGAAAGATGACAGGCGGAGTATAAATAGTTATAAATATATAAAAGAAATATTTATTAAATATAACACAATATTACCCTCCTCAGCCCCCGTTGAAAGATTATTTAGCTTTGCTAATATGGTTAATAGACCAAATCGTCAAAGATTGAACGAAAAATTAATATTAAAAATAATGCTGATTTATGATGCTGATTTATTATTATTTACTAATTATATAATTATTAAATGGAATATCGCATTATCTTTAATAATAAATTTGTTATTTTCTACAATTTATTTTAAATATTTTTTTATAAATTTATATTATAGATAAGAAAATAAAGCTTTATACATTTTGATTTTGACTATTTAAAGTTTTTTAAAAAAGTATCTTGTATCTTAGATACTTTTTTTTTAAAAAAATACAAGTATCTTGTATCATATATCTTATTGAAATTTTTCTAAAGTATCTTGTATCTTAAATACAAAATTTTATAAAGTATCTGTATCTGTATCCGAATACAATTTTCTGAAAATTTGCCCAACCCTGCTTGAGCATATAAATTTATAAAAATTATTTATCAAGTGAAAGATATATGAATTTCATCTAACCAAAATTTGAATTCTTTTATGGATGATGTGGTAACCATTGAATATATTAAATGACTTACTTTTCTATATCCTCATTTTCCATTAAATTTTTTTTAATGGATATTTAACAGGGATGTGAACCCTTCAACAAAAAAAGAGCCCGGGTTCGGGTACAAGAATAAAAGAAAAAATGACTCAAAATAAGAATTTTTTTCATTCATTTTTTATTATACTTCAATATATACACATACATAATTAACAAATAAAAATTTTGAAAATGAAATAATTTATATTTTAAATGTTCTATTCAATCGCACAATCATAATATCTCCTAAAATATTATCCTCGAGATTTCCACGTAAATTAGACAATATATAGTTCAAATATGAAAATCCACCTTCTACGCTTACCTAAAATAGATTGTTATCTTTATAATATATAAATTATTGTACTTGTGTTGCCGGTACAGCCATGACGATTCTAGACAAGAATATAATTCTGGATATATTGAAGAATTTTCTTCCCTGAATTTTAAAATATTTGTATCCTTATTTATACTCTTAACTTCTGAGAACTTTTCTATTAATGATGTAATAGGCATTTTTTGATCCTCCTTACTATCTGATGATAAAGTAAAATTTCGTGTCATCAATGTTGCTATCATTATTATTACTACAACCAATAGGTATTGTCGTAGCCTCTAATACGTTGTAAATAATGGAGTTTTGCATATGCCATAAATCCTTATTACAAAATAATTCACTTTCAAAATAATCAACATATAACACACCATATTAATAAATTTACATAATAAAATATTATTACCTGCACTAGAAAATAATTCATGATACCAGGAAGAAAATTGAAAGAAAAACGCGAAGATAAAAAAATAATTCCACGAAAAAAAGTTAATAAAATAAAAAAAAATGTATATTATTTTTTAAATTTTTTTTATTACACCTAGAACTCTTGAACCCTCCACTTTTAAAAAGCATCCGGGTTCGGGTACAACCAAAATACGAGGATCCAGGGTCCGGGTTCACATCCCTGATATTTAATACTGGGGATTTCGGAAAATTTTGAATCCGTTTTAGCATTTTTATTGCTGTCTATAAATTCTTCAAAAAGTGTAAAACAATGGTAAAATCTTATCTAGGACATAAAGAGAAAAAAAGGTAATTTAAGAATTGAATTTTTTCCCAAATGAACACTGTTTTAAAAGTTCGAAATGAGAACAATATGGCTAAATATATTGAAATTGCCAAAAAAATAAATTTATTTAAATACAAGTATCATTATCATTTTATTAAATAAGCTTAATTAATTACCTTGAATGCTTGTAAATAATTATATTATAAATTAAGAATTTTGCAAATGAATTTATGCTATTCTAATCTGATATAATTGCGAATCATTAATTCATTATTTAAAATTATTAATACCTATACCCACAATTAAAAACTAACACAGACCAGGCTTATATTCACTTATTGACTGCCTTAATATGTCGGATGGCTGCACAACATTCCACACCAGACCTTACTTTAAACAAGATTTTGCTAACCAAGATAACCCATTTAGCTAGCTCCTTTCCAGCCCAGATAAAGGTCATTCTCAAATCCGATCCTAGGCTTAAAGATATTTTGGAAACACTCACTGCCGATTTCAAAAAAATTGATGAACACAACCATGAAGAAAATTATAATAACGAAAATCGATCCCAACTATTTCCGGGAGATGCATTTGAAACTCAAATTGGCGAAAATAGTCACAAGGAAAATAAAGCTACTACAATCACTGGTGTTAGTATCAAATTAAAAACCAATTTTAATAATTTCGGTTGAGATTCAGTGCCTTTATTTTGACTTCATTTTCCTCATTTTTTATACTTATTTGGTTTGTTGGAAAAAACTAGCAAGTTATATTGAACTAAAATTATAAAATATTTTATTAAATATGAAGTTTTGGATAATATTTTATTAACTAGGAAGTATAAATATCATATAATTATTACGATAATATGTTATCAAGAATATAAAAAAAAACAAAATATTAATTTTCAAGGCTTTTCGCAGAAACTATTTATTTATACAAGGAAATGTTATGATTTGACATAATTATATTGTACTTGCAGATTACGGGTTGTCTATCATGATATCAAGATCAAGTGGCATTTTGCCTACACGGCCACGAAAAAATGTCGATTTTGAGGCCATCAGTATAAATGAAACAAAAAGGCCGATCAAAAAATAAATAAATATATGTATCATTTTTTTAATCATATATGTTATGACATTTCATCATAATCATATAAACGGTGTGTCCAAAGTCAAAATTTTAATTTATTAAAAATGAATTTATTATTGAAATTTACGAAATCGAGTTTGGATGCATAATATATAAATGTGATAATCTTTTTTTTTTACTATTTAGAATATCACATCAATACATTTCTTAAAATGGATACTCTATCCTTCTAAATAATTTATCTGACCCGAAAAATAGATGAAAGAGAAAGTTTTTCTTTATAAAAATTAAAAATAAGAATATATGAAAATGGAAAAATGAGAAAATAAAATTTTATATTTCTCTGTATCAAAACACTATAATAAAGTATAAACGAAAACCAGTTTATTAATATCTTATTATCTGATTTTATATAAGTAAGTTTTTATTATTGGATATTTATTTATAATGTTATTGATTTCAAGTGATGGATTGTGTCAATACGTAGACTCACTCTTGGAAATAAAAAAAAATCTATCTTGTAAACTCATATTGTAATAACAAATAAAGAGATATTTTAAATTATGCTTTAGGGGTGTGTCCTGGTTCGACTTATTACTAAGCAGTCAACTGCTTAACCGGCTTTTAGGTATCGACTAAATAGCCAAAAAGTAAGAGGTAATTAAAATTTTAAGTATGCCACTTTTTTAATTTTCTAAATAACTATTGTACATATCAATATAGGATGCGAGGTAAATTTTTATTTATATAATTAAATTATATTTTAGACAGGGACCCGGAGTGAACCATAACGAACCGCGAAACCGTTATAAACCTTTATAAATATCTGAACCATAGCCTAACCGATATAATTATTATTTGAAGGAGTAAAAGGAACCTTTATAAAAAAGGTTAAACTTGTTTAAAGCAAAATAAATAAATAATTCTCTTTACTATATCTCCTTCGTTTTTTATAATTATTAAATGATCAAAATCGGAATTTAAAAAAGCTACTTCAAATGCACACAATGAACATAATATTAGAAATATTATTGATTCGTTTGAAGGTGTTGAAAGGATCGATAAAAAATTATCAGTTTTTATATTTTGGGAGTCATAAAAATTTGAATATCTAGAATTTTATAAACTCTTACTCTTATAGTACTGGCAGTTCTTGCAGCACAAGTTTCTGTAGAAAGGGCCTTTTCGGGTCTAAAATTTGTGTTATCGTCACAACCAACAAATATGAATCCATTAATATTAGAAAATATATTATACGTTATATTATATATAATGAGTTATTTTGAATCTTATATATTATTTTATATATAATTAATAGATGTTTATAATAAAAATGAATTGGTGATGGCAAAAATATTAATAAATATTCAAAATTAAATTCATTATTAAAAAACTTCTAACCGTTATGAATAATTATAAACCTTTACAATTAGCTGAAACCGAATCTTTATAAATTTTTTCTTAAGAACCGTAACCAAAACGTAACCATTATAATTTTTTACATACTGAACATTTAAAAATAACGGTTCGGATCCCTGATTTTAGATGAGCAAACATGCAATTACACCGTAGAGTAATACCAAGTCTTTTATTGCATACTGTATATCTTATAGATTTATGTTGCATATGGTGCGATCATTTTTAGAAATAATTAAGGATTAAAATATTCATCTTCATATATTTATAGAGTTTTTTGTCATCATTTAATAATTCATTAAGTGAATTTTAGAACAATCCTTTATCATGGCGATTAAATTATTTCATATATTTTAGATTTTTTTGTGAATCAGCGTAGGCTGTTAGAGATAGTGAAACGACTCCATGAAATTAAGTTATAAAAAAATATATCGCTAAGAGTAAAGTTAGAGAAATTGAGAGTATTAGTCATTATAAAAAATATATATTAAATTTCAAATAAAGCAGACGATAAAATTACCCATAAGACGATAATAATATAATGTGAACTAGAAATATACAATTTTTTTAAATATTTAGAACCGCTCTATTTTTAATTTGTATCTTTTAACCTTATGAGGTAGACAGATCTGGTATGTTATGTTAAAAATATATCTTTTTTTCAATTTTCAATAAAAAAAATCTGATGATTATTATAGATCAAATTTAAGCATATGGAAAAGTTACAATTGGGATTGGCATGCCACATCGGTAAAGCGTCTTTGTGACTTTCCCAACCAATAGAGCATCTAAATAAATGTACCGGAGAAATACAAAAATAATATTTTTAAAATTTGTATATAATAAATATTATACTAGTCTTTAACTATTAGATGTGCTCTTTATAATCGAAAAATAAATTGAAGGCCACTTCCATAAAACGTTTTTACAAAGTAGTTTTTGGGATAATGTTACCAGCAAATTTTTTTATTTATTTCCAAACAAAAGAATAATTTGTAAAATTAAATTTTTTATATAATATAATATTTTTAATCGAGCCCCATTTCAGACGCCATTTAATCATTAATAGAAAACAAACTGTTTGATTTTTATTAACGATTAAATGACGTCTAAAATGGCACCCGTCGAGAATTTTTTTAAAAAATATTATATTATAAAAACATTAATTCGACAAATTATTATCTTTTGTTTGGAAATAAAAAAAAAATTGCTGGTAACATTACCCAAAAACCGCTTTGAAAAAACGTTCTGTCTGGAAGTGGCTCAAGTATATAATTAATTAATTTTAATTTGGGGTTTCACATTCTAAAATTATCTTAAAATATGGGGTCTCCAATATTGAAGGGCTTTGAAAATTGTGAAATTTAGTTTCTAAAGAGCTAGAAAGGCATCATTAGGAAAATTGTCACTTCATACTCACCATGAATCATGAATATGAGCTTTTATAGCTTCTAATAAATAATATTTATATTCTAGCTTGAAAATTTTTTAAATATCTAATTGTAAAAAAGCTAATAAAGAAGGCAATAAAGGTGATTGATGATGTTTATTTTTAAATCTAGGCGTTTTAAATAAAATAATAATTTTTTAAAATAAATTAATTAAAAGCATATTAATAAGGTTAAAAGGACAATATTTTAAAACTACCGAATTCGTTTATATGCTTTTCAGGTTCAGGGCAATTAATTAAAGATGATTTGGGGTTCACCAAAGAATAAATGTTTTCCACTTTTGGCCTAACTCAATCCAAATTTGACCTAGCCCAATCCAAATTTAAAGGAAAATTACCTTTTCATTTTAAATATATTAATGATAGAAACTTATATATTTAATTTGTTATTTATTGTGAAAATCAACATTTTTTTAAAAAAACTGGTTATATTTTTGGGTATTGTTTGTAAGTGGTACAAATATAAGATCAAATAAATTGATGAAAAGATTTAAAATTCTATTTTTAAGAAAAGCCACAAGATAATTTTCACTTATTATACTACTAAAATACGTTATAATATTTCATAAGGTTGAAGAATTAAAATAGTTTTTTATAACTTTACGAAATAATAGAAATCCGATTTTAATACAAAACTTATTAATTAAAATGGATCTTACATGACCAATATTCTTCTTTATAAAGTCTTTTTTTTTAACAACAATAAATTTTCTTACTTTTTCTTTTTTGAACACAACTTTTATCTTTCTTCTACCACAAAATATAAAATCGGGATATAAATATGGATTCTTTATTTTTTCTTTTTTCAACTATATATACATTTCTACAACACAATTATATAATAACTAGCTGATAGCCCGTCAAAAATGATGGGGAATCAGAATTTTCTCCTTTATTCAATGATAAAATAATAAATTTTACCTTTATTTAACAATGGATGAAGAGGTGTGATTTAGAAATTTATATTTTTTAGATGAAGGGATATTCTAAAATTCATTATTTATATGAAGTATATGGTTAGTAATTTTCATTTATGTGCACAATAAAAAATCTTTAAAAATATTTCTTATTCATTTGTATTTGTAATTTATAATCTGAAAAATATATTCTTGCTAGATGAGAGCATAACTTATCTTCAAGTAACATTTGAAACAGATATTAAAAATGGACAAAAAAATTAAATAAATTCATTGATAATTTATTGAATGTATAGATATAGAATTTTATATTTTGCTCTCTAATCAGAACCTTTATAAAGAATTGGATTGTTTCAAATGGGTGAAAATTAAAATGTTCCCAAGTCAGATTTAGAAAAGTCTATATGATTTTTATAAAAAAACAAAAATGTTTCTTTAAATGACTCAAAATTGATGAGCCAATTTTGCAACTTTAATTGTTTATTACAAATAAAATCAGACGTGTTGAATATGCAAAACTTGCTCTTCATCAAAAATGGGTCTAATTTATATCCCAATCTTTCACCAATGTAGTGAACTGCTATTATAGCATGCTTTTTTTCTATATCAGCTCATAATGCCAACGTTGAAAAAATCTTTTCTTTAATCAATAATAAAATGAGAGGAATAGATTATCCATATTTATTCTTCCATGATTTCTATAAATCTTTAGAGAAAAGGTCAAATATATTACGGAAAATATGGAATAAAAAAAATATGAATTGTAAGTTATGATATTTGTAACAAATTTTTTACCCAGATACAATGGTTTTTGTTCTCACTTCTTATAAAATCTGCACTCATCAAGAATCATTTATAAGCTTTTAAAACCTTCCTAAATTAAAAAAGACCTGCCATCATAGATTAAAATCAATTATGGGGCCAAACTGATTATCTCATAAAACCCTGTGGTAGTATCTACCCCATTGCAATGGGCTATAGCAAAAATAATTGCCAAGGGTCAAAATCTAGGGTCTTAACTTATTAAGTATACGTATCAATTAGGATTTGGAGTTAAGGGAGAAAGCAAAATAGCTTCTCATGCTATTTGTTTATATCGCCGAATTGACGTGGAACCATAAAAATTACTTTTTTAATATGTTCAGAAATTTAAAGAAAAACAAAAATATATAATTGTATTATCACCAGAGGTCTGCAAATGACAACATTTTTAGGCCCAATAAGAATTTAATTAATTCCCATCCCAAGTTTTGCTTAGCCTAATTTCAATTTTTTTACTAAAGTTGTCTGACC